TAAAGATCTTTCTTGATTTGTGTGATGTTTTTCATGTGCAGTGTTGAGCTTTCTGGTATCCCTTAGAATAAATGTATTTATTTATAATTTTTTTTCCTCTTATATAAATGTTGGTATATGATTTGAAGTGGGTGTGGCATTTCAATAGCAATTCCAGAAAATTATGAAGAACAGGGATTACATGGGCCACCTGAGAAAACTTCTTTTAAACAGTATTCTATAATAAATTTGATTCTGTCCATTCCAGGTCATGTTTTTTTTCTCCGGACCTCTTTCCTCAGCAGTTTATAGAGCATGAATTTCACCGATATCTCTTTTCTTCTCTTGTTCTATGAAGAACCTCAAGCGATAAACTAAATGTGTGTTGATGCAAATTTTCAGACTATACTTTGTCGTTCTGCAGTCCCAGCAGAGGCTATGGATTTTGTTCTTTGAAAATGCATTTTGGTTTTGCAACGAGCATCAGGGGAGAAATATTTTGGTGGCCAGTTTCATTAAGGAAGTTGGAGTACAGCTTGAATACAAAGAGAGCTTTTCGGGGGGTTTAGGTGATCCTGCCTGCCCACCTGTAGGAAGGGAGGGTTTGAAACACAGCCAGGAGAAGGTGATGCCCGTCAGTAGCACTTCTGAGTTTGCTGTCAGAAATCCAGAGAGAGCTGACATAGCTTGAGTTGGGAGGGTGGAAAACCAAGAAGGCTTCCTAAGTTAAAATATAGCAGGATCCTTCAAACTATTGCTTTTGGCTTCTCTTTCTCTGACTTATCATTTTCTGTTAAACTAATGTGATTTCACGAAGGTTTGCTTTCAGAATCTGAAATGAGCTTCAAATAAAGCTTGAGGCTTTTCCACTGATAAATTTGTCAGAAAATATTTGTGAAGGATTTTTTTCTTCTTTCTTCTTCTTCTGTATATTAATGTAGAAAAGTAAATACAGTTTGTGATTACTAAGAAGATGCCCAATTGAAAACATGAATATGTATTTTAGTGTATCTCTGCTTATACAATTGTAAACATACCCACAGTTTAAAGTCTGAATTATACACATCACTAAAATGCTACATAATTGCATGTGTATATTCTTTGTAGTATCTCTCCCAGGAGTACTCCTATTTTATTTAAATTTTTTCTCTCTCTCTAGGCTAAACTCTTAATTGAGCGGAGCTAATAATTATTTCATGCACATGAAGTTTATTCCGCTGTAATTTAGATAAAATATGCTTGATCCCTGGCAGCCATATTCATAAGGAATGGGACCAGTTTGTAACTTCACACTCCCTCTCCAGCGGAGAATTCTTTACGTGGAGGTGAAGCCTTGGGAAGCCCTTTCCACCCTGCTCACTTCCTCTGCCGGCACAAGGCTGTATTTCTCTTTCCATACTAAACCTCTGCTCTGCTCTAGCCACTGTGCCCGTGGGATGCCCGGGAACGCGTTCCTGGTATTTTACGTTGGAACAGGGGCATCGCTGTTCTAGGAGAGAGCATGGCTGGAAGGCGCGAGATTGGGGAACTGGCTCCCGCTCTCCACATTAGTGGCCACAGTGGAAAAATCTAGCGGCTGTGGTTAGTCAGAGGGTAATACCAGCAATTCCCATGGGGCTGGAGAAGACTGCTGAGAGGCTTTGCAAGGTTGGGCCTCTGCAGCTATTTTCCTAACCCCTAACATTCAAAAATCATTAATCTAGTGTAGGAATAATAAACTCTCTGTGCTTTTTGATTTGTTTGTAAGGCCCCCAGTGAACCTAAAAGAGATAGGAGAAGTTAAAAAAAGGGAAAAGTAAACTTTACATTTTTGCACTGCTTTTTAACACCAGAAGCTGAAACTGTTAAGAAAACAAAAAAATACTGACTTGTGCTAAATGCATGAGCGTTGTCAGCACAAGAAATTCGTGCATCAGTTGGTTTTTTTCCAACTTTCGTGCAAAAAATTTTTGTTCTCAATTAGCCCCATGTGCTGTATCTCTGAAGAACAGATTTGCATTTCAAGACGTTCCCAATGCCTGGCTGTCGGGACAACACTGCTGACAGGGCTTGCACTTACTTTTCCTGTATGGGCTGATAGAGTCTTCACAAGGGGCTTTGTAGTTTGGTGAAAAATGAATAATTTATTGTGTAGTTGAACATTATCAGTAGCCGCGGTTTGTAACATTGACATAAGTTACTGCTGGTCCTACTCAGAGGCTGTCTGAGGCCATGGTTTCCTATACAGTGACACTTAAATAAATGTATAGGAACCAGTGGCCTGAATGGGTAGCCTCTTCTAAGCTTTCCAGCCACCGTACACAATTAAGTTACAGATCCAATTATGAAGTCCATCATTTTGAAGCACTTGTGATTTGTAAAGCTTTGCAGAATGCATAACCAAGTGTCATGAGTAGTGCAGTGTAAGGTGTCATCATCACTGGGAGAGGCAGATAGGCAACATTTGTGTCTAAATAGCATTTTCTTATTTTCTCCTTTCATTAGACTGGTCCCTTGAGCAAATATATTTGTGTTTATTGATCCCACAAAGGTGTTGGGCCCTCTGTGGAAAAGGGTGTCTTAAGGGAAAAGAAAAGGGAGAGGTGGCATAGTGTGAAGGACAGCTAATGATGGAATGGAAGCAGTCAGGGATCAAAGGGTCAAAATGGAGAAACAGGGAACCAGAGGGGAGAGCAGCTGCTGCTGGGGACTGGATGTGAGGCTTCAGAGATCCTTGGTTTTACTTGGTATTGCAGCTTCTGTGTTGATTGCCGTTACAGTAATTAAAACCTTCCTTTTCTTTATATGAAACCTCACCTGTGTGCATAAAAGAGAGCAGTTGTTTTTATAGATTTGTTGTTGGTAGTTTTTATTAACTCTGTGGTCATAAGAAAGGAAAAAATCTGCAGCAAATATTATGTATTATGTATTATCACAATCAGCCAAATAGTCTGTAAATCAGTGAAATGAGGAAAGATTGGGTAATGAATATAGCTGCACACCATTGCTGGGCCATATCTACAGCCCCTCCATTTCTAGCACATAGAGAATAATCCTGTATTCTCCTGTACTCAAGATGGTATCGACGGCTGAAGCAGAGAGGGGATGAAAGCAGGAAGCTGGTATCCGTATCCATTATAACGTTTTGCAGTGTGAAACCAGGGATCACTTGATGTTACCAGGAACAGATGGGAAACAAATAGCATCACCGGAGTTATTAAAAGCTCAACCCTATTTTTAGAATCTTTTAGAATTATTCTGCAATTTTTAGAACATGTTTTCAGTATTGTATCCTCATATGGTGCCAACTCTGCTCTATTGTAGTATGGGAAGAATTTATTTTTTGTCTGTTAAACCTAATATCTGCTTTTTGCTGAAAGCGAAGGGGGGAGGGGGAGGAAATCCTAATGCAGTCCTCAGTCCAAACCACAAATACTAATTTTGTGTCCTGGTGAGTATAAGTGGCAGAGGAAGGGTTGCTAGTTATTTCTAGCGTATTTGTTTCTATCAGGTTATGCTAATCGAAGTGGTATAAAATTATTCCATTATTTGCAGCAGTCCATCTTACAAACAATTTCATTTCATCATTATTCACAGTGGTGTTATACTGTATGTGACCGTACCCTAAGAAGACAGTTAAGATTTTCGTGCCTCTTTTCATGAAAGCAAGAAACCGTAGAAATCTAGGATGAGACAGCCTGAGAGTGACCAAAGCCTCTTTGCCAGCGGGTCGTCACCGACAGGAGAACACACAGGGATTCTCTCCTTTACTTTATGTCTAAACAGCGTATATGCATGCTGACCTTATAACCTCTGCCAAGAGTTTGGAGGAACTTTGACTGCAGTATTGCACATCTACAGATAGTGGAAAATACTGCACATTTGGATGCATTTCAATTTGTATGACTGATGCTTTAATTTTCACTAAGGGTGATTTTCCAAAGGCCTTTTGCTTCATCTACACATGGTCCTTTCAGTAATGCCTACAATGAATCTTCTTGTGGTTTAATATGGTAGAAGGCACAAATTCGTGTTATCATAATTTCAGTGTGCTTTCATGTTTATTAAAATAATGTATTGCATAAAATTAAAAATAAAAAATGTTTAATTATTTTTAATACCCTATGCAGCAGTATAGCCCTAGCTTTTACATAATTGCTTGAAAAATAATAAAAACGGGTTTAGTATAGAACAAAAAATTACTCGTTTCATTAACTTACAATGTAGAATGTGTATTTTGTATAGTGTTTTTATTACTTTTATTACTTCCCCCTTAAGCACCAATTTCATTCTTGGAATAGAAAAAATAATATAGTTCATTACTTGATAGGAAATACAAACCTTCTTGATTTGAAAGTTCCAATGTATATGAATATCTCTTTCATTTGAAGTTGGGTATGATCTGTCATACTGTGTACAACGTACTGTAATAAGCTCCAGAAACCTTAAATCATTATTTTCTTGAGTGTAATTTTGAAATACAGCACTTGAAATTGTATGTTGTTTTAATAATGTATTGGTAAATAAGGCAGTATGAAAATTATGTGATAGTAAAATGTGGGTGGAGGCATGGGAACAGAAATGAGACTGCTGTTTCTCAGTACTGAAACAGTAGATTGCGGACTTATGTTTTTCCTTCTAAATATAGCGATCGTGGAAAAGTTGTGCAGCTGTGAGCTTTGCATGCTCTTTTAGATCAGTCTTTTACTTAACCTTGATCCTGACTTTTGCTTGCTGGACCTTCGTAAGGAGCCCTGGTCTTTGCCCAGTATTACATTTTATAGCTTAGTAAAATGCCTAGCAGAGAAACAGTGGAATTTATTTCATTTGTGTCATAAAGCTTCAAAACTGAGAAGCAAATATACTGGTTCTGCTTCTGTTGAATCATTGTGGGAGACTTACTTAATCTCATTTTCAGAACTATTGCACTGTAACAGTTTCATAGCTGGTCTCGATAGTCTTACTGTGTCGCTCAGAGAGCATTGCTCTGTCATCTAACACATAGTTCTCTGTCATCTAACACATAGTTTTCTTTATTGCAGAAAAAGCAGCAGCAGCTAATGAAGATGAAGTGCAAAAAGCAGATGTATCATCTACGGGTCAGAGTGTCATTGACAAGGATGCACTTGGACCAATGATGCTTGAGGTGAAGAGCACAAAATTTCTTTATTTAAGCCAGTTCTGCTCCCCGTAGAATGAAGAGCAGTGTAATGAAATGAAGAAGTGCGGTCAGAGGTCACTGTAAAAGAATGGTCAAGAGAGACAAGCCATCCTGACTACTTAGGATTATGTCATTTAAGAGCAGGCAGCGGATTTCTGTTGCATTCAGTGATGAAACTCTTTAACTTGGGGTGGAGAGAGGCAAAGAAAGTGATAATTCTGCTGCTTTGTAACACAGATGACTTGAGGGGCTTCAGTTGGTAGCAAGCCTTGGGAGTCTACATGTGCATGTTTTGTTTGTTCTAAACCACAACAGATTTGGGAGACCTGTTGCACCTAAACAGTGACTTACATATACAGTAGGATACGCATAAATAATGCTTCCTCTAAAATTGCATGTCATTGCTATAGTGTTTTAATGCTTTGCCTTCTCACCACTCACAGCATGACTCTTCCCTCTGGAAAATGCAAGTAATCTAGGAGAGCTTTCCAAGCTGCGTATTTCAGTTTGTTCAGTTCAGATTTCCTATCTTGATATCCCAAAAGGCTGCATGGTTAAAACCTAGCTTCTAAATGTATTAATAGTATGCTGGGTAGGTATGTTATCTGGGATCCTAATGTCATATGCTACTGTCCTTTTGCACTACTGCTTTGTCTGCTTCAGCTCACTTGCACACTGTTTATTCCTGTTCTGTGGACTTTATCTGTAAGGGAGAATAAATATTACTTCAGATAAAAAAACCCACAAACTCTGAATCAAGCTAAAGGAACCAGCTTTGGCAGAAGCATAATTATCCTGTCATTCCTCAGTGTTGCAGGAACAAGATGCAGAAGTTTTAAGTATTTGCATTAATTTTCATCATTTGTTAGATTAAAACATAGTTTTCTGTACTATGTATGGAATAAAGGGTCCAAAATCACAATGCTAAACATAAGGAAGATTAGATAGGTTGGAGTGAGAACATCCTTTGAAAAGTGGGGGTAACAAATAATTTGGTTTAATTTAATATTTATTGTATGTGCTTACTGAAATGAATGTTGTTGGTTTTGCTATCAAACAAGGTTGAAACATTAATCTCCTACATTCCTATGTTAAAATTTATCTTTAATTTCCTACTAATTTAATTCTAAGGACCTGTTTTAATCACAGGGAAAATAAGAACAAGACTTTTTTTTACTGGCTTATCTTGCATGATTGGCTGTTGCAGCAAACGGGACATGTAAAGTCACCCGTCTATTCTGTTATTCCTTTTAATTTAGTTTTTCTTCTCAGTAAAACCATTGCATATTAACAATGAAAGATTGTGGAACTAAATTAATAATCCATGGTCCCTTTTGCACCAAGAAACTTTAAAGGACTCAAAGTTGTTATACTTTTGCTCTGAAAAGCCTACAGATACTTTGTGTCTTTATCTCCTTAAAGAAATGCAATTAAGTTATTTAATCTTTACAGAGCCCCTTTATACAACCTCTTCACAAACCTACCCTTTTCCATTGCCGAATAATAATAAAAGTGGCAATGCTGATGAATGGTTCATTAGTTGATTTGGTTTAGAAATGTAATTGTCTGTTTTTATTAAAGAAAAAAAATGCAGAATCCTCAAAATAGTGGTTCCAGCTGAAGAAAGTGGGTAGAATTCATCATCATGCAGTGGAATATTTTAACTTATTTCTTGGTTAAAGCATAAAGCAGATAGAAAGAAAGGGTGAAAAAATAGTCAAGAGAGAGCTGACAACATCTCAAAGTATACAAGTATGTTTTCCATTCCAGTATATCATGTAAAATAATGTCTGTTCTCGATTTCTCTTCCAGCATGTTGTCCATTATTTGTTTCCCCCATTATCCCAATAGCTCTGAAGAAAAGTTTTTTATTGTGGTGGCATACATCTTGGCACAGAATTAAGAATTTATTGCAAAAATGAAAGTTTACAAAAGATTTTGGTAGCTTGGTGCATTAACTTGCCCGGAATCCTGCTGCTGTTTACCCACAAGATTATTTTATTAGCAGAACAGAAAGAAATGGGAGGCTAGCATGTAAAGCCTTGTGATACTCTTGGCCCAGATGACCACTTCTGTGGTCAACCCAAGAAGCAGCTGTGAGGGAACGGCACAGAGCCTCTCCTTGCCAGAGAAGTTGCCATAGTAGGAAGCAGTAGGGAAAACTGAAGATGATTGTGGGATGCCAGTAACTCTCATAATCTCTTGCTTGCCATCTCTGCCTTTGAAAGTTTTCTCCTTAGGTCTTCGATAAACATGTGCTATGGCTTTGGTTTTGCAATCCCTTTCAACTGATGTAAGCACGGACTGTTGCCAAGCAGAATGGTTCAGCGAAATCCACAGCCTTCTGCCAGCACTAAACACCATGTGGTTCCATGGTGGGCCTGTTCAGGGGACTGATGGGGCTAGGATTTTTTATTAATTTTTTTTTTTTTAATTCCTGCATTAGTTTTCAGCTTCTGGTCCAGCTCTTTGTATCCTCAGATAGTACTGGGACCTGTAATGATTTAGAAAGGACTAAACCAAAGAGGTCATGCTTACATTGTATTTCACCCCTGCTTGAAGTCATTGTAAGATACTAATCCATAGCAGAGATGCTGATAGAAAATTGTATTAGAGCCTCAATTAATTAAATCTTGTAAGTCATTGTTAGTTAAATTTTTTTAGGAAAAATGTCATGAGTGTTATGAAAGCACATGGAAAGGAGAGAGCTCTCCAAAGTGAGTTAACTGAAGGAAACAACAATGATCAGAAACCAAAAGAAGTCAGATATTGGAATTTGTGACAATTTACAGGAGAAAAAAAAGATCTAGTTTGTCTTAATTTAGAGACAGTCAGGAAAAGTTTGTACTCATACATTTATTTGTGGGTTTTATTCTTTTTTAATTTAAAAAACAGAGCAAACAAGGCATTGTGCAACCACTGACTCAGCCACTCTGCTCGGGCATTTATGCTTTCACTATCCCTCCCCTTTAGCAGAATCATTAACTAACTTAGTTTGGGAACTTGTGTAATCCCACCTCTCCCAGTGTGAGCAGATCCAGCTAGAGCAGGTGGCTCAGATTTGAGTTCGGACAAGGTTTACGTATCTTTGGGGAAGGAGATTTCACAGCCTCTTTGGGAAGCCTCTTACCGTAACTGACCACCCACCTTCATGGTGAAGGATTTTTTTCCTTGTACCCCCATGAAGTTTCCTGTCTTGCAGCCTCTGTCTGTCGCACCTCATCCCTCCCTTGTGAACCTCTGAATAGAGCCTGGCTCTGTCTTCTCTGTAGCCTTCTGCTAGGTGGCTGAAGACAGAAATAAGATCCCTCCTTAGCCTTCTCTTTTGTACTGTCTGGATTTGCTAACTGCTCCAGAGTGCACAATATCCTTAATATGTATCTGTAGCCTGAGGACTTGAGAACTGCCTGCTAAGAACAACACACAAGTTGTAGAGTAGGTGAGTTTGGTTATACAAAAAATGCCACCACGTGCCTGTGTATGCTTGCTATAGCAGCTCCTCCTCGTTAGAGCAGCTGAGTTCAGGTTAAGTATGGATCCCCTTCCTTTTAATTAACTTATAATGAATCATGAGTTACCTTGTTTTTGACTTGTTTCTAGCCCTGGAGATGCAATAACTAACTACTGTTCTAGTGATTTCTCACCAGCCCTTAGAGAGGTGAATGAATTAGGCAAAGCTGAAGAAGTCTGTATGGGTTAATGGGTTAATAGAATGCTTAGAACAAAAGCTTTGGTGCTTTAAATTTAAACTTTACATGACAAGTCTTACTATTACTCGAATTTTTGCTTTATCCTTGTTAGGTAGAAGTGATGTTTGGCTTAGGCTTCAGATAACATACAGCAGTTATCTTGGAAAGAATGCTGCAGCTAGGTTGTCACTGTCACAAGAGATAAGGGAGGAAACCAATCAGCAGAAATTACTAATTTAGACACTTCCTCGCTGAAACTTTAAATCCTTTGGAATACCACGGAGCTGAAGAGTTGAAGAGGTGAAAGTCTTGATTCCTGTTTGTGGATCATGTGTGGACTGAATTAAGCTGGTGTCAAATTAAAAAAAAAAAAACCAAAAAAAGAAGTTGTCCCAGGAGTAGAGACTAAAGCTGCCCCATCCTCGCTGCTCACTGCCTGCTCTCAGCTCCCTTTGCCCTTCTCTGCTTTTAATCCCTCGCTTTCCCAGCTGCACGGGGCCTCACTGCTATAAAGATGCACTGCTGGGGATGTCTTTCTGCCAGTGTTTTCCTTGCCTTGTGCCAGCACATCTTGTGATGTTTTCCTGGGATCAGTCTCCCTGTGCTGCATGGAGGAGTGAACAGGCTCTAGGTTTAGCAGAACCAGCTCCTCTTCCAAGTTTCTTATGTCATAGGCAGGCAGATAGAACCAAACATGTTCCCTTATTTTTGTTTGTTCACTTGGAGAGAGGGATTTGGCTTGTTTTCATGTATGGGCTTCTTTATTTCGCAAGGTGTGCACCTTTCTGAGCTTTTACGCTGGCTTGGTATAAGTAACCTGCTCAGTCTGAAATGTGTCCTTTGCTATTACAGACAAGAGTATAAGAACTAGGAATGGATGCAAAAGTATTCAACTATGTCTTTTGAAGAAAATACTTATTTTCCAAATGTCTTGTTGTTAATCTGACTGTTTGGTATTATGTTTCTCTCTTTTTCTCTTTCTGCCTTTTTTTTTCCCTTTAGGCCCTAGATGGGTTCTTCTTTGTAGTGAACCCAGAAGGTAACGTTGTGTTTGTTTCTGAGAATGTGACACAGTACCTAAGGTACAACCAAGAGGAGCTGATGAACACAAGCATATATAGCATCCTGCATGTAGGGGACCACAATGAATTTGTCAAAATCCTGCTGCCAAAATCTTTAGGTATATATCTTTTCCTCATATCGTACCATTACTAATTTGTTTGGTTTCATAAATAAGCATTTCAGTAACTTAAGTTAATGTCCTTCCACTGCTTACAGTTTAATAATATACACTCTATTTATTTTTAATGTATATATAGGTTGTATGAATGATTAATATTATTCTCAGAAGCATCCTCTACTCTTCTCAGATTCTTCTTTGTTAAAATTACTCTTAGTAGCTCATGTTGGCTGATGCTTTTAATGGATCTCCAAAGTGAATCACTGAAAGACATCATTAGCTATGTGAACTCTCTGACAATTCTTTATCTAGGTTGGTTATTCTAATAATGGCCCAAGAAAAAGAGAATATAAAAGAAAAATCAAAAAAATCCTCATGTTTGAATTTTTCTTTCAATATTTTTAGTCTCACCAATATTTACCCATCTCCTTCAAAAAATGTTTTTGTTGCAGCCATTTTTTGATTCCTGTTAATAGTGAGTTTATTGTCACTGTTTTTTGGAAGAGTTAAAAATTTCTCACAGTTTAAAAGGTATTACACGGTTCACTTCAGCATTTTACTACTTGACTTATAAATCCCTGAAGAATCAAAAATATAAATGGCTAAGCCCCATAAATCACTGCCTTTATTGCATTTTGTGACTGAAGAGTGCGAGTGAAGAGTATTTTAAATATGACCCTGCTGTTTCCTAATATGGTGTTACATTAATTCGATCTGACTGACATCCAGTACCTATATTTGTGCATCTCAGAATTTTGTTTCCATTTTTACTTGTCTTAAGCACTTTATTGTTAGACTTTACTTTTATCCATCATTGCACCCAGGTCATTCTCATCCTTTAGTCTTTCTTGTTGTAGCTGTGTTTTGGTATATTACAGATTGTATTGCTTCCTGGTTTTATAAATGCCTATTAGTTTCTTTTCTTTCTATTTCTAATCTGGACACAGATATTTTTTTACAATGCTACCATCTCTTCTGTTAATCACAGTTAAGTTCACTACACAGATCCTATCTACTGCCTTATTTATTCTGGGCATGTAAACTAACTTGGTCTACCCCGTAGGCTTTTCACTGTACTCTATAACTTTTACACGCACTGATATTTAGACTTTTATCCTGCTTTTCTACTATGTCATTATAAGTCACTTGAGAAAAATGTGATAGCTGAAGAAACTAGCAGTGCTCTTAAAATCTGAGAATTTTATAAATTACCTCGCTACTTTGGGTTCTAATATTAAAAATAGATTGTTGTTGTTAAATGAGCTTGTTTCCCGACCAGTCTGCAAAGCACCTTGATTAGTTTCCTGTGGATAAGCAGCAGAATTGACTGCTACCAGATTTATCTGACTATATGCTCTTTGATTTGCTCAGTGAATGGGGGATCCTGGTCTGGTGACACTCCTAGGCGTAATAGCCATACCTTTAATTGTCGGATGCTGGTAAAACCTCATACTGATTCTGAAGAAGGCCATGATAACCAGGAAGCACATCAGAAATATGAAACTATGCAGTGCTTTGCTGTCTCTCAACCAAATTCCTTCAAGGAGGATGGTGAAGGTAATTACCACTTTTAATTTGTGTTAGTATTTTCTCTTTCCATGCTGTTGTGGGCCAGCAGTTTTGGTGCAGTTGATCAAGTGAGATAAAGTTCATAAAGTGGCTTCTAAATCCTGAAAAACATAAAAATATTAAGATTTGTTTAATGGTAGAAATGTATTTTCATCTTGGATTTTGAATGTGTACACTTGCATGTACCTATTTGTTAAACCGATATGATTGAGAGAAAAACAGTTTACTTTAAAGACATAGCCTAGCTTTATATCACTGCAATTGTAAGAAGAATGTAGCTGACTGGAAGAAAAGTTTCAGCAGGCATTTTTCTGTGTTCTGAAAATTTGAGGACAATCATGGTTCTCCATTTCCTTTACCATTTACTACTTCAGCAGGTAAATTTCCTCAGATTGTGTTTTAAGTATTCAGATAAGTAAAAATGACTTATTATGAAGCTGCTTTCTCAGGGACAGCAAGCATTTGGGGCATGTTTAAGAAATGTGGCTTAGGAGCTACAAAATGGTGAGTGTTGAAGAAATATGCTCCCTGCATGTGCAGTATATTCTTTTCTATTCTGAGTGGTTTATCTGCTACAGGTATATGTATAAACACATGCTAATAGTAAAGGACTGTAGTAATAACTGTGGTTGATAACTTTTCTTCTAAAAAATACCCCAAAGCCTATCTCTCCTGTGTTGTTTAATGTTGTAGAAAATACTGAAGATGTAAAACCACTGAGTTTTATCTTTATTTCTATTGATACAAAATCTGTTCTTTTGGTCCAAAAAAGATTTAAAGAACTTTTAAAAAATATGTCTGAATTCTTTGTGGAAACAAAAATCTTCTTCCTCTTCTACACAAATTACCAAAGTAAAATTTTTCTTTAAGATTTGCAGTCTTGCTTGATTTGTGTTGCAAGAAGAGCTCCAATGAAGGAAAGGCCACTTCTTCCTTCGTCAGAGAGCTTTACTACTCGCCAGGATCTACAAGGTATCGTGAAAGAGGAGTTTTAATTTATTTATTTTTTTCCACCCATCAAAGGGGAAATTGTTGTAATGAATGTTTTATCTGGTATCAGGCAAAATAACTTCATTGGACACAAGTACCATGAGAGCAGCTATGAAACCTGGCTGGGAAGATTTGGTGAGAAGATGCATTCAGAGGTTTCATTCACAGCATGAGGGAGAAATATCTTTTGCCAAGAGGCATCACCAGGAAGGTTAGTTTTCATATTTTTAGCACTTTCTATGTTTAAACTGTTTGTCATTTATAACTCTTGCTTGTGTTCTCGTTGTTATGTTTACATGGAACAATCAAGGGCTATCAACAGTCCCTTTTTCAAGCTGATTTGCCTAACACACTGATGACTTTCTCTAGAGAGGTTTTGCTTCTTTCTCCCTGTTTGTTTTAGCCTCAGTGGTATAACTGTGCCATATTGGAGGGTGCTTTAGATCTTGAAATGGTTGCAATTATTTTAGAAAGAAAGACCCTTGCATGTTGCCCAATAAAACATTCACTGCTCGTTACTCTTCAGAACCTCAGCTCACACATGGTAGTTTATTGACCCATGTTCCTTTTCTCTACAAAAATGGACTTTTACTGTCACGTTTCCTGTGCGAGCCAGTCAGTGTGAATTATAGAAGGTGCAGCACTCATACTGTCTGGAAACCTCCATTGCTGTGCCATAACTTAGCTGATAAGTGTTACAGGATACAACACAAGCACATCTGCTCAGTCAAGATTATGGTAGGTAAGATGTAGGAGTGTAATGCCCTGTGAAAGGTTCCCCATGAGGTTTCCGTGGTAGTGACAGGGTGGGGACTTCTTTTCATAAACCCCTGATACTGCTAATTCTGCTAACACAGGTCCAAATTACTAAAAACGTCCACAGGAACATCCTTTCAAAACCCATTGAGAATAGCTGGAACATTTCCAGTGCAGGAGCATCATTCTTTGGGTTCATGTTTGTAGAACAGGGTTTACAGCTAGCCTGTAACAAATAGTTGTGCCATGGTCATTAAACAATTGGCATGGTCCATTGGAAAGTAAATTGTAACAGGAATCTCAAATTATTCCACCAAATACACAGTCCTCCGCAAAAAAAAAGATATGGCTTTAGTCATGCGGCATGAGTTGAGTATTCTTTAATACGTTCTGCTTTTGTGAAACCTTCAGGTTTTGTTTTGGGAATATGGGGCCACAGAAATACTGTGATATTTTGGATAACAGCTTTGGGAGTATATGAAGTTCTAAAAGTTCACAGCCGTATGCTGTGATTTGAGACAGTATTGAAGAAACTAGTATGCAATTAAAGTTACATCAGGGGTTTAGAGAGCAGTTTCAGGTATGTACCTGTCTGTGCCAAAGGTGATTTAGGAGTTTTTATTGTGGCATCCAGACGTTTGTTACTTCAGTCCTTTTCAAATTGTACTGGCTCAAATTAACAGCTCCTACATGGAGTGCTGAGAGGGTCCTCTCTAAGCTTTCTGTGAAGTGATAAAAAATACATGTGTTTTGGAGTTTACATTGTATCATTTTGCAGAAGAGGCTTAGGATCCTCTTATAAACTGTAGAATCAGTCTAAATGAGGGGGCTTTTCTTCTGGAAGTGAAGAGAGTGAGTGGTAAGAGGAGGAAGAAAAACCTGTGGAATTGGTTTGCTGCAACAGATCCAGCACTAGGGAGGAATAATGGCCAAAACGTTTCCTTCCCCTGCCCTGCAGCCTGGAGAAGAACAAGTCGTATCTTGGGCAGAAGTATCTTTTCATTTGCGTTGTTTAAGTCATTTTCATTTGAGAATAGAAACAACATGTATTTCAGTGTTATAGTGTGAAAAAAAAATCAGCATTAGCTTGATGAACAGTAAAAGTCACAAAGCTTTTGAATTAACTCTCAGTATAAAGTGCAAAATGTATGGTAAGTTTTTATTGGCCACAGTCAGAAAAATAGCATTTCCTCAAGAGGAATACGGAAACATTCTTGTTTGCTTAAAGAATTAGTTTGGAAAATGATTTAAGTAGAGATTTCACTTGTATCCTGTTGGCATTGAGTGCTGGAATTTCCTGATGTGGTATATGCTAAAGTTAAGAGCTTTGGACCTTCTGGTGCCCAAAGGTTAAACTGAAACAATGACATACCTAACAGTGAAATTTTGCTTTGTATTGTTTCGCAGTTGTAGGTTTTTGTTTTTCTTTACATTTTTATTCTGAAAACCCCCTTCTGGTTGTTTAAATTGTGCTTCCTGTTTTCTCACTGCCTAAATAATACTGTAAAACCTTGCAGAACAATATATAACAGTGGGGGGGGGACAGGGAAGGAAAGCAATCATTACCAGTCCTGCAAGGCTCAAAGTCTGGTAGCTCTGTAGAGGAGACTATTTAATAAAGCCACACTCGGAAAACCGTGTCATTTCATTACAACAGGAAATATTAAAAGACAAGCAATGCAATGAAGATCAGATGATACTATTAATTGTATTCTGGAAAATAAAAAAAAACCACAGAAAATGTGCATGTATGAACAAAATAGGAAATTAAAAGTGTTTGTACTACTACATTCTTATTTTTTCACTAAGCAATTATATGAAAAATCTGGAGTTAAATATTTCCCTTCTGACACATCTATAGTCCTGATGTAATAGCTTTTGGACTAGGAATTGGAAATGATCAGACTTGTTTCATTCATGGCAAAGAGAGAACAGTAGAATAAATGTTTGGAGATTTGCTTTTCCACAGTGTGGTTTTCACTTTTAATTAAAAGAAATGTCACAGGGGTCTACAGAAGTTAGACAACTGAATTTGTTGAAGTTCAGATTTATACTGAACTAGGGTTAACGTATGCAGAGTATGTGCAGTGAAGTAAACCCCAACAAACCCTGAAATGCAGTCATGTGTAACACTGGGAAAGGATAGCCCAGCCTCAGTTCTGGTTTAAGTAGTTGTATTTGTAATTATTTTGAGCTATGTATTTTTGTATTTGTTTCTCAAAACATATTAATTTCTTGTTCCAGTTCTTTTTATTTCTAATTATCCTGTTTAAGAGATTTATTTTAAATTGAAGAAGTAGTGAGAATAATTGTTCCAAGATAATTTAAGCAGGCAATAAGGAGGAAAAGTTACAGGCTAATGGAAACAGATGATCTAGAAGCTGAAGGCATTTTATATTAATCATCGTGATGTAGATGTTACAGCTGAAAAAATATGTGAGGAACAAGAGGAGTTAGACACATATTTGATGAAAAGTGAAATGGGAGTCAAGGACTTCTTGGTCTGCTGCTGAAATACTCTGTATCTCACAGTATCTGTCTGGTTATTGCTGTCACTCCTTTTTGGTTTTCTTTTGATCACCCTGCAGTGTGTAGAATCCTTTATATACATCCCATCTACTTATTTTCAAATTTTTTCTTCTTTTTTTTTTTTCCAAATTTACGCAGTGTATGTGGTATGAGTGCTGATGTATTTAGAACATCAGATGTTGAGCAGCTAAGTTACCTGTAGTTTCTCATTAATTTAATTCTGTCATTTTTCTCGCTTGCAGTGCTGAGGCAGGGACTAGCGTTTAGTCCTGTTTATCGGTTTTCCCTGTCTGACGGCACTATCGTTTCTGCCCAAACGAAGAGCAAACTCATCCGTTCTCAGACAACTAGTGAACCTCAGCTTGTAATCTCCTTGCATATGCTTCACAGGTAATCCTGGCTGGTTTATTATATTATGCACTCATCAGAGAGACAGGGAAAGTATCAAGTTGCCAAAGCAAATAAACTGTTTAAGGCTGATAGACATTCAGTTGACCTGGAACTGATAGTACGAAAACAAAGTAAGTTTTTGAAATCAGTGCTTAGAGCAGGGAAAGACTTATTCAGATCTTTATTTCAGAGCTTACAAATGGTGTGCTGGATTTTCACATCAAGATCTTCCATTAAACATACAAAATTACCTTTAATCTCATGTACTTAATTTCAGCATTTTAATTTCCTATATTTTTCATAGTAGACACAAGAAACCTTCTGAACATAATTAAATCTAGGAAACTTGGAAGAGTTAAATTCCTGTAGTTCACAGTCAGTTGTATGTTGGGCCTGGGTCTTCTTTAAGGGATGTGTTATGATAACTAGAACTGCATTTTAGACTAACTGCATATATTAATTCTTTGTGTCTCTTCATTCCGTGTCTTTTCTGGTGCATGGAGTAGTGGCTTTCACCTATTCAGTCTTTTAGAAAAAGACACAAGCAATAGTATGTTGGAGTCAATGATAAGTAATCAGTGACCTCAGACCTTCAAAGTAAAAATTTGAACTAAGTCATTGCATGTACCGGTATATTTGTGTCAGATTTTGTTACAGGTTTTATTTGCTGATTATAATTACAATACTGTTTCCCTGTATCCACAGTATCATTATTTTGAGAGGAAGAAAGGAGCCCTAAATGTAATTAAAACTGAAGCCATTTTACAGAGATTGCAGATTTAGAAATTGACCTGTCCAAAACATGTCTGAAATTTGTTTTCTTTAGATTGGTGAATATACTTAGTATTTCATGAAGTGCTAAGTTTTAAATTTAAAAAAGCAGCATTAAGTTAAAAACGGTACTTTTTTTTCCTGCTGGTTTTTAGCAGAACTTCTACTATTGTATTTATAATAAAGTTTTAGAAGTCCACCTGTCTTTTGATAGCTAATGTTATTCACCTTTGCTTTTATACCTAAGGAACAAATAATACGTAATAAGATTCGGTGCTTGGTGTGCTTCATTGTTTCACGTCTCAGGCTTTAGCAAAATGTGAAGTTTTATCTGCATTTATCCTGTGCATTTAGGAATGGTTTTCATCTCATAGAAAATACTTAATAGGAATGTTCTGTTAGTATTTGGTTTTGGAAGTCCAGAGTTGATTTTTCTCAGAACCTTTTTTTTTTTCTCTTCTTTATGTGCTTGACACTGTCTCTTTTATAGCTTTTAGCATTTGGGAGTATGTCTGGTTTTTCTGATTGAAGTTTTAGCACAGAAGTAAAAAGTAGATCACATCCTTCCATAAACTAATTAAAATCTGTTGAGGACAAGTGATCTTCAGGTGCTCTCACAAGAGCTTTTTTTTCTGTGGATGCGTCTCTTCTGTTTCCTCTGTCGTACAGCCTGTATCTCTAAAATACAAGTTTCAGCTCCTGTTTGTGTGTTTCTTTTTTCATTCTTCTTTCTTCCTAAATGCCTGTGCAGGACTGGGTTGCTAACAGACAGTTCCTGTTCTGAAGCAGTATCCAGTAGTTCTGCTGGCTCACATGCTATTTTGGAGCAGTATCGAAATACTCTGGCAGCGTAGAAATGTGACTTTTTCAACTTTCTTTTCACTATGAACTTGGTGGGCAGATAGCGCACTCCAGCCTTGTGGTGGGGCTAACTCGTAGAAATTCAAAACTGGAGCAAACAGCTGTCCACAGCTGTCCTGTAAAACATGTATTTCCTTGGGTCGTATGTTTCAGATAAGATTTCTGTCAGTTCTAGAAGTTAGCTGTTGCCAAGTTGTAGAGGCGAGATAGACACTAAAGGGAGAGAGCCTGGAATTGTAACTTATCTACATTTCTAATGACTATCATTTAAATGAGGTATAATTTTGTTTTTCCTCTCTTTTACTGATTTTTTAATGAAGTACTGAAAAACCATACTGTTAATGTGCAGCCATGTTGAGAGCTGCATATCACTTTTGTCAAATTGTCAGTTTGTTTTTAGTCGTAGGTTTATTGTATTATTCTGAAGTGAGGTTTGGGGGGTTTGCTTCTTTTTCTGTAATGTGATTGCAAGTTGGCTACTGTCATTTTAGGTAATGGGTTGTTTTTCTTCCCCTTGCCACATAGAGAGCAGAATGTTTGTGGAATGAATCAGGATTTGACTGGACAAGGAATGGGGAAGATCCTGAACCCAATTAGCTCCAGCAGCCCTGCCCATCAGGCCATGTGCAGTGGGAACCCAGGTCAGGATATGACCATCAGTAGCAATATAAATTTTGCCATAAATGGCCCAAAGGAACAAATGGGCATGCCAGCAGGCAGGTTTGGCAGTTCAGGGGGAATGAACCATGTGTCAAGCATACAAGCATCCACTCCTCAGGGTAGTAACTATGCACTAAAAATGAACAGCCCCTCACAAAGCAGCCCCGGCGTGAACCCAGGGCAGCCAAACTCTATGCTCTCCCCAAGGCATCGTGTGAGCCCTGGAGTGGCAGGAAGCCCTCGTATCCCACCCAGTCAGTTCTCCCCTGCAGGAAGCTTGCATTCACCCGTGGGAGTCTGCAGCAGCACAGGAAATAGCCATAACTACACCAACAGCTCCCTGAACGCGCTTCAGGCCCTCAGCGAGGGCCACGGCGTTTCTCTCGGGTCGTCGTTGGCTTCACCAGACCTAAAAATGGGAAATTTACAAAATTCCCCTGTGAATATGAATCCCCCCCAGCTAAGCAAGATGGGAAGCCTGGACTCTAAAGACTGCTTTGGACTATATGGGGAGCAACCGGAAGGTACAACTGGACAAGCAGAGAGCAGCTGCCATTCAGGAGAACAGAAGGACAGTAGCGATAGCAACGTGCCACCGGTCGTCAGTGGTGAGAGACCTGATGGACAGAATAAACTGCACGATGGAAAAAGCCAGACAAAGCTCTTACAATTGCTGACCACCAAATCGGATCAGATGGAGCCTTCGCCTTTGTCCAGTACCATGGCAGACGTTAGCAAGGACTCCACGGGAGGGTTGCCTGGGTCTGGTTCGACACACGGAACCTCGCTCAAGGAGAAGCATAAAATTTTGCACAGACTATTGCAGGACAGTAGTTCTCCTGTAGATCTGGCCAAGCTCACAGCAGAGGCCACAGGCAAAGAACTGAACCAGGAGTCCAGTAGCACAGCTCCTGGTTCGGAGGTGACTGTTAAACAGGAGCCAGTGAGTCCTAAGAAGAATAATAATGCACTACTTCGCTACTTGCTAGATAAAGATGATACTAAAGATATTGGTTTACCAGACATACCCCCAAAACTGGAGCGGTTGGACAGTAAGACAGACCCTTCCGGTAGCACAAAGTTAATAGCTATGAGGACAGAAAAAGAAGAGATAAGCTTTGAGCCTAACGAACAGGTAAGCAAATCTTTCCATTGAGTACGAATGGCGTGTTCTAGGCCTGCGTTCCTGCTGTTTCACTTCCTCTGAGAGTAATTTCTTGACGCTTCCAGAGGCTGTTGCCTGTCCTTTGAAATCCAGTCTTCGCTCAGTTTTCCAGTTGGTGTTACTGAGTTGTGCTCATTGCTCTGTTTAAAAGAACAGACCCCACCTGGGAGGAAGTGGATAACCCAGGGGCTGGACTCTGGGGAGCCTTTCCCAGATGGTTGTCAGATGAAGAGAAAATACTTCTCACAGTTGGTTAATGTTAACTTATTGACAGCTTTTCCCGTAGACTGTTGTCGAACTGCTGTGGGCTAGATGGGCTCTTGACCCAGCCCAGCTTAGCAACTGCACTTCTCCCATGTAAAGCAGGATCATGCTCAAGGACAGGAGTTGTGTGAAAGGGCTGATGCCTTGCGTTAGTGCTCTTTGTGCTATATTTGACCTGCAAATGAAAATCGAGGCAAATAGACTTGTTTCTGTTCCAGTTTGAGGGGGGGTGGGGTGGGGTGTTGTTTGGTTGTGGGGTTTTTTACTTAAAAATTTTGTGTGTCCAGCCCCAAGTTCTTGTGCAGCCCCATCGTTCTGTGCAGAGATCACATCTCGCTGTGCAAGGTTATCTGCATTCAGTTTGTATTCAGGATTCTTGGTGTTCTGTGCAAGATGGCTTGTTGCTCTGCTGCCCAACATACTAATAATCTATGTGTTGTTAGGACCCGTGCTAAAAAGTGTTGCTTCACTGGCTTTCATGCAGAATTCATTTTCAAAAAGTACCAGGTTCACATCACCCAGAGCACTCCAGTTTGGAGAGTTTGGCAAGAAAAAGCAATGCAGTAAAAGCAATTTGCTATTTGAATATTACTGTTTATTTTATTTATAAAGTGGGTAATTACAATATCAATTTTAGTATGAAGCATTTTCTGTGAAGTTTAAAACTAGCTGGAATTAATGATCCTTAGCTTTGTCCTACACTATCAACTCCCACAGCTGGTCATTAATCCTTAGCCATGAGGCCTTAGTGCATGAAGCCTTAGTTTGTAAATCACAATCAGATCATACGCTGTGCAAACGTTAACGACTCTCCCACTCACAGGCATATCCTTCACTTTAAAGATACTGGTGTTTTTAATGTGAGGACTGGATTTGAGCTTGTCTGTTTTTGTGACTCAGTTGACAGTTCTTTCAACAGTGGTTATAACAACAAAACATCAAGGCCAAACATGCCACTACAGTGTGGATGCAGCATTGTTAAAATCACAGTTATCCAGGCGTCTCCTAAGGTTACTTCACTTCTGTTTCAACAGGATTTGACAGCTATTGCCATTATGTAGGAGGAATTGTGTTTTTTCAATCCTTCCCATACTTTAAGGAGAAACTGAGCCAAATTACACTAATTTCTACAGGGATTTATCCTCAAGCCTGGATGTTAGTTTAGTTCTGAATACAGCTGCTATTTTGTAGTGCCTGTAGAGGAACAGCTTAGATTCTCTGTGAGAACTTATGCTTTGTTAGAGTAGAAAAGCACTTAAGAAATTCACAGCTAAACTGGCAAGAATGAACTATTTTTAAAATACCCAATAGATTTCAGTTCCTAGTTCAGATCCTACACATTGAAGTTGATACGGGATTGAAGTCAGAGATCCTTCAGTTCTCAATATTTGATACTGGGCAAGAATGTAAAATTTGGTAATGACCAGAAAAATTGTGTCCATCCAAGTAGATCAAATTCATGGCCTGCAGGTGGTTTGCTCCCCAAGAATTAAATTTCTAAAAGAATTGAAATTTCCTCTTTAGTGATCTCTGTGGAGGAGACAAAAAATGGCTTAACTTGTAAACCATTCACAAAGAACAGATTTAGTGCCCTCTAGAAGTTAGCTGCCTAGTCCAGGGTAGTCCTGTGAACACCTTTTATCCTTGATGGAAAAACAGAAAAAATACGACAAGATTTTTTTTATTATCTTATCCCAAAGTGTGTCTAAAATGGGGACGGTAAGGTGCTCTCTAGTGATGTTCCCATTGACTAGTGGCAGCGCAGAAGACTAGTTCAAACTAGCTGCCTTACTTTTTCATTACTAAAGATAGGCAAGTTGAGTCTCACTCTAAATATAAACATGTAACTCTAAAACTAACTTTAAAGAAAGAGACTTCAGTGTCTCAAGCATTTGAAAATCAGGTCCCCCTGGTATTATGAACTTTGTAAAGTGAATAGTCCATTCATTTATTATTTTTAGGCTTCGTGTTTCTGAGGTCAGGGGAGGAATTTGAGGGGTTTGGTGTATAGACTATGGTTGTATTGCCTTAAAGTTTAAAGACAGAGATTGTCTCCTAGGAAAGAGGGACCCGGAGATACAGGAAAGTCCCAAAGTTGGGGTTGTTCAGAAAACCACGAAGCAGTGCAGAAGTCATGATGAAGTGGTGAGGGCTGAAGTGCTGGGGCTTTCTCAGCGTGGTGGTAAGGGGATGGCAGTCCTGCAGCTGTGATGGAAGACTGCTGGATAGTGACAGAAGGGCTTTTGTTGCTCGTGTTGGTTGTAAATAAAGTTTTAAAACCTACTTAAAATGCTGTGAAACCTGGAACTGAATAAATAGAAGTCCAGCCTGGAGTAGGAGAGGAAATGGTGGGGAATATGGAATAATGCAAGTGTTTCTCTAGCTGAAGGCCCGGCCTTTAAACAAATAACCACTTTACCCCAATTATAAAATCACTGAAAATATTTAGCATCAAAAACTCTTTAACTTTGGAAGATGGTCTCCCACAGGAAGTACTCATTGCCTAAATTTAGATCAAAGTTGGAACTATTTAGTACAAGACTAGAACACAGATTCTTGTGCTAAATTCTTCCATCCTCCTGCGTCCTCGTCCCCTCCCCCCATCTTCCTCCCGTATGTAAAAATTAGCCATGTGCTTGTGTTACCTATTTTGCAGGTTTATTTAAAACTTCTCCTCCCTGAGGAATGTTGTATTTTTAAGCAATTAGTCACTGGAGTGTGCAGTTTCTCTGGAAACTGCAGCGGAGCGGCAGTGGGATGGCTTCTGCAAGGGGGATCGGGGTGTTGAGCCATTACATTTTCTCCTTTTGGTTTTGGTGTGACTTCTGAGCAGGAAGTGCTTTGAAGCACACCACTGTACTAAAAATAGCAGTCTTCTAGGTAGTATGTTTAAGCATACACTTCTGCAGAGAGCAGGCACTGACAGGAAGCCTTTCTCAAATTGCAGAGAGTATTTCCAGTGCCACCATACCTTTTCCCCATCCTTGATGGGATGATGGTTTTCAAGCTGTATTAGGCTGGTTGCTATTCCAGTTCAGGCAGCTGTGAGGCAGAGAGTGGAAGAGAGACCTGCTGAAGAGACTCAGCAGAGCTTTTCCTACAACACCAACAGTAGTGGGACTGTTGCCATCAAGCACCGTGAGTGCTCGTATCGTTCTGCACTATTAAAAAAAAGCAGGCAGTGGAAACATGAGTCCTGATTTGCTACAGATTTATTTTGTAGGACATCCCTCAGCAGTAAGCTTGCATTACCCTGCCAGCCCACCAGCTGCTGCGGAGCTGCCGTGGTGGGACTTGATCTCGCATCCTCCTTCCCTGTGCCCCACTGCTTGTGCTGGCCCTCGAAAAACTCTTTGTGCTTCTGAGTCCAGGCGGCACACGCTGCTGCTGGTTGGGAGCAGCCCATGTCATGGTCAGCAGATAGTCAAACCTGGCGAGGGCAGGCTAACAGCTTGGAGGAAGAAGGGTGAAAGTATAGGGTTATGTCAGAGAAACATCACACCCTGATGATGTTGGGTATTGCTTTGTTAAAGAAACATTTTTTTTGGCAGTATTGTTTTGCACTGCAAAGCTTTGCTGTAAAATTGGGTATGGAATATTATATTCATTTTATGGATGAAGGAGCTAAAATGTAAAAGTAGCTTATTCTCTGAGAAAGCACTTGGTATAGTGTGGAATAAAATGTTTATCTCCATGAATATACTCTCCTCCATTTTAGCCAGGAGACAATATAGACAGCTATTTGTCTGACAGGGACTTTGCAATGCCACAGTCTCCACCATTGCTGTTAGAGAAATCATCTTAGGCATGTTCCTTTTTGTCCTAAAACTCAGAAAAGATTCTGGTGTTCTGCACATACTTTATTACTCTGCTGTCCGCTTGCTTTATGTGGAAACCACCATCTTCCCAATACTAAAACATTTTCTTTGCACATGCCCCTCATCTTCCAGAAATCTATTTCTTGATGTCAGAACTCATTAAATTAATGAAGGACATTGGTTTCTTCTGGAAATTCTATCAAAACCTTAGAATGAAGATTCCATTTTCTGAATGTCTTTCAATTAAGAATTCTGCTTCCAGTAGTTCTAGCTTAGCCTCATAATATAATGGGATTTTTAACCAGTTCTATGTTTATTGCAGTTACCAGGGAGAAAAAAGACTATATTGACTCCACTTCTGATTTACTTTTTCATTCTTTTAATAATCCTTAAATTTGTGGCCGGTTTGGATCAAGGATTTGGTTTTGTTTATCTTTTATGGCCGAATGTTTTGCCCATGCTACTAAGATAGCTTATGAGCTAAATTGGAGTTTACGTACAGCAGATATAGTTTCAAATTGTGTCCCCGCCAAAAGACATCCTGTCATACGTAGGAGTAAAGGAAATGTGTACACGTGTGAAGTTTAGAATAGGGGGGCTCAGTGCCAGCCATGGGCATTGCTCGTGATGGAAAAGAGATCTACAGAGAGTTTAGGATCTTACCCAGTCCTTTACACTCCATGGAAGCTAGATTTTGGCATGGCAACATTTGTAAATGAAACTTAGTGTTGAGGTATAACTGCCTTTCAGTAGAGCTGAAAAAAATCCATAAGCAATTAACACTTTAATCCGCCTTTCTCTACACTACAGTGATAAGTACTTTGAAAGTAGATACCTATTTGAATGCAAAAGTATTTCTGAGCACAATTTGTCTTATGTTTTCTGGCACTTAGCGTCCGAGTTCTACGGAGATTGTTGTAATTGCATTGCTTAGAGATAGTGAAAATATGTGCATGAGAACTTCCTTGTGATGCTTAGCATTTTATCAGGCATATTTTTTTCAAATTCATGACAAATAATTGTTTTACAGGGAGGTTAGGGTGTGCCTTCTATTTACATAAAGTTCAATTTAGACCATTAACAAAATAAATACAGAATATAAATAAAAGAAAAATCCCATGAAACTAACCAAGCAAATATTTTAATGCAAGTTTCTGCACATATGGTGCCATTTGAGGGTGAGTCTGGAAAGACTTAGGGTAGCATCGTAGCTTAATGTTAATTCTAAATCTATCTTGGAGCTTTTGCAGCAGTTGAGAGCCCTCATCTCATCAAAAAATAAAGATTAAATATTTTATATTGGTTATGTTAAGCAAAAAAAGGAAGGTTATGTATTTGTATTGTTATAATACATCTGCTGTGTTTGGCCTTTCTTTGCCACTTCCTGAGAGGAATTAAAAGCATCTTGGGGAGTGCAGTTTTCCAACACAGTTGGATCAATATGTTCTTCTCTGGCTTCATTTTGCGGTTGGTGGTGTGAGTTTTTTACATCTGATGTTTAAACAAAGAATTGCAGTAGCCAAAACTTTTTTTTTAAAAAAAAAAAAAAAGGAGAAAAAAAGACACAAAGTCCCGCACAAAACCAAACAAAAAAAAAACCAAACCCTGCAACATATAAAACTTCCCTTTTTTTGATGAAGGCCATATGTCTTAATTCTCCCAAAGAGCACTGAATCATCCTTCTGTAATTTATGATAACCTACATCAGTATCTTTTACTGGCTCTTGCAGTCCTCTTGTACTAGATCTCCCAGTGCTCAAAATGCAGCTCCTACAAACATCACTCACGACTGTCTCTTGGAGCTCCTTTCTGAGTCTGCTCTTCATTCCTCACCACAATTTAGGCTTCTCATAATCACACTTGATTCCTCTTAGCTGTGCCTTTTCTGTTGGTGTGCTGTGCCCACCCAGCTGCTGGCAGCGAGTCAGCAAGGGCGTTTGTTGAGAGCAGGTGATGTTGGACCAGCCTGTTTTCCTTCTGCAAAAGGGTAGTGGGCTTTTTTGGCACCAGAGGAGCAGCATACACCAGGTGCCTTGGTTTGAGTAAGGGTCTTTTGCACTCTTACGCACAACATTCACGTAAGCAGATTTAGAGGTGCATGGTCAAGGCAAAACTACTGTGAGCAGGTAGGAAGCTATTTGGAAATCCTTACACATGAAGTAGTTATTTAAGCCTTCACTACCAAAGCGGAGGTGCTGCAGGAGCTCATGCCACATCAAGAGCTGCTCAGAGTTTGGTTGGTAAAGCTGAGTGTGACACTCGAATGTCTGCAGATACACTGGAGGACAGAATTCAAATTCAGCTGCAACAAGATAGATGGAGGAAAATATCTTAGGAGAACATTCAGGATGAAGAACTGCTATTTATGGTGATTAGTCAAGAATAACGTAATAGATTTTGGAAAAAAAAGAAAAGGACGGGACAACTGACTAGCTAGAACACTTTCAGAGCTGTGTTCTGGGGATCATAGCACAGGATGAGACTCAATACAGTGTCAATGTTAAAAAAATCAAAGGCTTTTCTGGAATATGCCATCAGAGTTTACTCTGTAGAGTAAACTTGCTGCTTTACTCAACAGTTGTAAGGCTTCATTTTAAATTCTCTTCTGAACACAGAACTTGAGGAAAAGCATGGATCAACTAAAGACAGTCCAAGGAAACAACAAGAGTACTGAGATGTCTAGAAAACAGGTTATGTGCTGAAGAAAACACAGCAAGTTGAGATTGCTTATAAACTTCAGCTTAAAACCCAAAAAGGCAGATGTTTTCAAATACAGAAAAGATTAGAAAAAGAAAGGGGAACACAATTTGTTCTCCAGATTCAAAACACAACAGGAAGGAAGGGCTTAAATTTCAGTGAGGGAGGTTTTGCATTGAGACTGAGGAAAAAAACTCAAGTAGCAAGGATAGCAGAGTGCTGAAACCAATTCCCTGGGGAAGCTGTGAATTTTCTGTCACTGGATGTCTTTAGCAAGTGGCCATATGAACTTCTACCATTTTGCGAGCCTCCAGATCACCCACATGCTCCCTTTTAACAAACTCCTCCCTCTTTTGCGCCGTGTATTCCGACCTGTAAAACTAGGAAGCGATGTGGAAGGACTAAAGAGTAATACCATGTTTATCTGGAGTCAGTCATCCAAAAAAGGTATGTAGAGATGTAACCTCGAGGCATCTTAGCTACCTTTGTTATAAAATAGCCATACTTCCCAGGAGCAGCTGTGGCAGCAGAAGTTTAGTCCAGACTAACATGCATTGCCTCCTAGCGAGAGCCTTGGCAGGTAGTTTAAAGCCATGTCAGGTATTTCTACATTATCCTGTGATCTGTGGCGTAGGTTTTCTCTCAATAATCAACAAGTTCAGAATGTGATGGTAGGACATACACACATCAAAAAAAAAAAAAAAAAAGAACAGGAAGAATTGTGTTTCAGTTGTTTGCATGTTTGTGGTGTTATTTCTCGGTTCCCCATCCTTCACAGCTGGCTGCTCGCTCTATGCCTCTCTTCCGTCATTGCACATTTCCTAATGAATGTGATGATTTTGAGTAGATTTTTGTTATAAATACTGTTGTGAAATGTTTCCTGTTCCACCTGGTGGTAACTGAGACTGGAATGCTGGTTGGTAATTATTACCCAAAAGGGTTTTACCCTATTCCAAGGTTTAGGATTGGAGAATATACTTGTAATAATTTCCAAATGTCAGTCAGAAAAATATTTTAATTCTAAAGGTTTATAGACAGAGAAGCTGACCAGAAAAAAAGATATATACTGGTGAAAATCAGCATTGTTAAGAAAAACACGCAGGTCAGTATTTATGTTAGTATCATGCACTTAGGTTTTTTCCCATCTTTATTTCATAATAATTTTCTGTTCAATTGAATGTAACTGGATTTCTCTGGGTTTTTTTTCTTACTCTAGAGATGTTATTTTCAATGATTTGGGAAGTTGTGAGCAAAATAATTCATTAAGCTAGTAACTAGTTGACAGGTTTTAATTTATAGAAATTCATTGAAGTGTCTATTTCTTGCCAGCCAACTTATGTGGAGTTACTCAGTGTTAAGGTTTTGATTGTAACAAAGAAAGTGCGTATGGGAATTGTTTTAGCCACGAAGCAACTTTTCCATCGTAAGCTTTTAATCAAGTTATAAAAAGACTAGAAATATGACTGTGCTGAAAGGAATATTGGTTATACCTACATAAAACCCCTTCTACATCACTGTCGGGTCTCTTCCCCTGCCAAATTATCCCTGCTGTCTGTCACTGATCACAGAGTGCCTGGGGAGAATCTCCCCTTTTCCTGAGGTACACATCGCTTGGATTCCTATGTCCTAATGTCGGGGTTTCAAAGGGGTGCTCGTGCCACAGTGGGCTCCCCAAATGCAAGGCGGATGAGCCCTCGGAGGTGTGCACAGTCCCCTTTTGACAACTTTGTGAGCTTCTTCCTCCACACTGGGCTGCTTCTCTCGGGAAGCATCCGAAGCCGGCGCAGGCGGTCAGGGTTACGGGCTGCCCGGCTCGATGGGAGCAGGACGCCAACAGCAGGCGAACAGTGACGTGTACTGTGGGTTTGTGGTGGTTTTGTTTTTTTTTATTGCAGCCAGGCAGTGAACTGGATAACTTGGAGGAGATTCTGGATGACCTGCAGAACAGCCAGCTGCCGCAGCTTTTCCCAGATAGCCGCCCAGGCGCACCGGCGGGCTCGGTCGACAAGCAAGCCATCATCAATGACCTCATGCAGCTCACCAGTGACAGCAGCCCCGGCGCGGCTGTGGCCACCCAGAAACCGGCAATGAGGATTTCACAGAGCAGTGAGTCCACCTTCTGTGCGGGTGTAGGCCAACCTTATAAACCCCAGAAAGCTCCCCAAGTGGGTCATGATTGCCAGAGAGGAACACGGGGCAGCGCCTTGTCCTACTCTGGTCTTGCGTGATGACATAGCGCCATCTGCGGTCGTCCCATTTCGAAACGCATGTGGAGGTGATGTCTGATCCATGCCAGCACCCGTGGAAGCCCCTGCCCTCTAAGGAGATTTACGGGCTACCCTCGAAATAAATGAAACGTCCCCTTCTGTGATTACGGGAGAGGACATGCATTTTGTTGTGATGCCGATCACACCTTTCCAGCCACCTTTTTGGTAAAAGGGGTGAGAGAGGTTTGTCTAAGAGTGAAGGAGAGTCATCTTCTAAAACCACAAGATTAATAGAAAGACGAATGATTAAGAGGAATGCCCAAGTTTAATTTGAAATTGTGGCTTTTAATTGAGTCACTTTCAGCTGACAGCGTTCCTTAACTTAATTAATTAACTTACAAGTCAGCATTGAAATGTTGGTCTACCAACATAGGGTAATGGAAAGCAAGCAAGGCAGGAGTCTTGTGAGCTACAAATGATGAAGAACATAGCAAGAAAAGCCACTGCTTCATTTTTATTCTACTCTTGGCTAGGATGACAGTATCTATTTGCTTCCTTAAATGTACACCGCTATGTTTTTTAATAAAACATTGAGCTTAGATAGTACCTTTGGACATTCTTACAATACTTAAATAAACAGTGACACTTTCAAATGAACTCAAATTATTACTTAAAATGTTTAGATTAATATTAACATTACTATTAATAATAAATATTAATGTTTAAACCACCGCACATCCTTAAATTATCATTTGTTATCAATGTTGCACAGAGAAGGATGCTCAGATTTAATGTACTTATTTGTAACTATGGGGCTAGTAACATAAGTCAGAAGGAAATCTCTGTGCATCTGAAATCTTTAGTATATTCCTTCTGAAGCAAGGTCTGCTGGTTCCTTCTGCTGTAGCATTTTGGCTTTCCAGAGTTAACCTAGTTTTAAATCTGCTTTCAGAGCTACTGGCAGTACAGTGACAGTATGATCGTGAATGAGAGTGTCTTGATTATTAACAGCGGTTCTGTAAAAACAGCGTCCTGTTTCCCATGTAAATTAAAACCCTAAAACATTTTCCCCCACCTCAGTCTTGAGTCTGTGCCTGAGTCCCCCAGGGAACTTCTGCCTTGTTTTCAGTAGAAGAGCGTACAGAAACCACGTGCACAGAAATAGTGACTAGCTTCTCATATGCTTACAGAAAAGCAGTGTAGAATGAAGCTCAAATCATATACAATTCCAAGAGAGATTTGGGGTTTGTTTTTCTTTTTCTGAAGAGATAACCATCTTTCACTTACAGTTTTTACATGAAAATACTTAAGATATTTTTATCTATTAAAAAAAATAAATCTTAAAAGCTGCTAGATTTGCCAAATTGCTAATTTGGTGTGTGTGGGGGAGAGGTAGCCTCCTTCAGTCTCATCCTGACCAAGAGCAGAATATGGGATCTGAGCACCATCACATCTCATCAACTGTGCTGTTATTTTGTGCTGCATTTCCAGCTTTCATTTTTGGAGGATCAGTTGGTGCTGGCAAAGCTACCCATCTAATAACTTACCAATGTGATTTTTTTCAGGCTTCTGGGAAAAGTTGTTTTGAAACTCTCGCTGAAGTTTGGTTTTCGTTCAATCCTTAGAATTTATGATGCCCCTAAGCTTAGGAAAGTCATTTTTGTCTCATAAATGAGCTTTCTCTGATTGTTTGAACAGAATCAGGACAAAATTTTGATCTCATAGTTAGGAATTAGATATATTGTGATGTATTTCCTATACACACGTATGAACAAATTCACCTGGCAGAGAACTTATATTAAAAAACTAAATAAATACAATGGGCTCCTGTAGTCTTGTTTTATAAAATAAGAAGAAGAGTCAGAGGCCCTTGTAATGTTTCTGTACTTTTTAAGATGCTTAATAAACTTCATCTAAGTTTTCAAATTCAAAAGCATCACCACTTTGATCTGAAATAGGAAAGAAGTTCTTTAACTTCTTTGTAATGTGGTAAATATAAAATTACAGAAGTCGCTTTAAGGATGCCATTGTATCAGAGAATCTCCTAGAGGCAGCTGTGGGGAGGTATTGCAAATAATAATTTCACCAAAAAAATATTAATTTATTTGTATATATTTTGTTGGTATGATTGGAAATGGAATCATAGCCCCAAGGTCAGTGTTTGATTCATGTTTGAGAACTAGCTGTGCACATAGGAGATGCTTTCATTCATTGGAATATTGGCCAAAGACCAGCTGAGCCAGATGCTCGCCAGTCATGATCTGAAGCTCGGTTTTCTGTGACAGTCTGCAGTTTCCTTTGCAGAGGCTGATTTTAAGGGCGCAGAACACCTCAACAGAAGAAAACAGTTGTATAAAGGTGACAGCAAGCATCAAGCATGGTTCTGTTTACAGAATCATTACGGTAGCACTGCTGATTTGGTGCTGCTGAATCATGGAAGTATTTGTTTCTATTAATGATAAAAAATGGAAAGAGAAAAAAAGAGAGAGATGTAGAAATGAGGCTACAGGATCTGATATAGCCTCAGTCTGCCCTTAATTTTTTTAACTTCTTCAGGAGTCTAGCTTGTGCTGGAAAACTTTGAAAACAGATAATTCCTAACAATCTGCCTCAGGATGACAATCTGCGTGCAATTACAGTCCGATGAGGTATAGGATTAATTGGCAGTAATATGCACATCACATTGTGGTATATTTTGCTGTAGTGGCTCTTCTGACAGTTGAATTGCACCATTTAAAGTTTTAAAAATATACATCATATCTGTTTTAGTGTCAGAATGTTCCATTTTGAAATTTACATAAAAATGTCAAGAAGGACTATTTCTCAGGCAGATGTGGAGTGGGTAAATTATGCAGCATTAAATAGCTCAGCCCAAGAGCTTTGCGTGTGTTTGGGTTCTTCTTTTTTTTTGTCTTTTTTTTTTTTTTAACAAGTGAAGTTTCCATTCTTGTAACTTTGCTTTTTTTTCTTTGCTCCTCCTGTCTAGCTTTTAATAACCCACGAGCAGGGCAACTGGGCAGGTTATTACCAAACCAGAATTTACCACTTGACATCACACTGCAGAACCCAACAGGTGCAGGAACTTTCCCACCCATAAGAACGAGTAGCCCCTATTCAGTGATACCTCAGCCGGGACTGATGGGCCGGAATGAAGGGATGATAGGAAGTCAAGGAACTTTAGGCAACAGTGGCACAGGTAAGACGACTTTCCTGTTTTATTTATTTTTTTAATACATTGAGTAGCAGCCCAAAACATGTGTAACTTAATGTTGGGATTAATATAAGTACTTTCCAAAAATTCTGGGGAAAATATTTATTTTGAACTCCTGTTTATGAATATTTTTAGTTCTGCTCTTTATGCACTACTTTTCACCTACCTAAACTCTTCTAGATGAACACAGCATATTGGCAGTTAGTCTTTTCACATCAACGTTTCAGACTTAGCTGAAGCTTACATAGGTAATAAACCAATCTTTCTGCCTCAAAAAAGCAAATAAATGAACCAGTTCCCTGTAGAGGGCACTTCTTTGAAAACAAAATTGTGGACAGTAATGTTGTCCTTGTGATGTGTATCTGTGCAGACCTTGGTTTTGCTCTCGGTTATCCTTTATTTATTAGCCTTAGTTCTCATTTTAAATTAAAAAAATGCCAATATTTCCATCATTTTCTGAAACATAAACTTTTTGGGAACTATAAGATGTTGCAATGGTATTACTTTTTGTCATGGATTATGCCTGATCTATGGTGTATTAATTTCTGCATATTGCCCTAATATTGTACAAAGATACCGTAGATGGTTTCACGAGAAAAGTCTGGCTAATTGATTTATTTCAGCTAGTACCTAGTCTGAAGCTGTCCAAGTGTACAGCAGCCACTAAGAACTCTGAGTAGATAAATGGGTGTTGTAAGTCCTTTCAGCTGGCTATATTCGCTGTCAAAATTTTATATTTAGTTTGCATCTGTATTATAAAAGACATGCTGCCAGGCACTGAAATATCCTATTTAAGCAGTTTAGAGGTCAGCTTCTAGTCTTTCAAGTGTCCTATTACTTTCATGTTCTGTATACATACTAGAGGATGTTATTCATCTTACGTATACAAGTTAGAGAGTATTATCTGTGTTCCTGCCATTTGCTCAAGCACACCACATACTTCAGCTGGTAGAGTATGTACACAAATAGAACAAACCTGACGATGTAACACTGAAGCGAATTTTGTACAGCAGCTGTGAAACAATTACTCTCATCAGAGTTTTTCTTCTCTGTTATATATGGCCAAATAATTGAACTGAGGAGTAATACTTATTTGTGTGGTTTTAGTATTCGTTTAAAGATGTTGCAAAATGCAACTGAAGAGACCAGTAGTCTAACGTGAAATCAGTGTTTCATCTTCTCTCTTGACTGTATAAAATTGAAATGTGTAAATACTGTGAATGCATGTCTTCTGGTTTGGGGGACTTTTACATTGGGGTTTGGTTGGGGTTTTTTTGGCTACTGTCACAGTGTGATACTCTATATATTCCAAGTGTAAATAAACTGCATCAGTTGTTTACAGTAGATGTAGGAGGACTTCCCCTAAATAACGGTAATGAACTTCAGCATCTATCGGAAAGTTCCTGTGAGTAATTTCCCTGCACTGTATATTGGCTTGAGATTATCTGTGTGAGCCTCAAAGCTAAGAAGGCTCTAGGTTCTGAGAGAACAGACCCACCAAAAGATGTTTGCAGAATGCGAATTTAAAAACAGTCCTTCTGATTTGTAAACGTGTGTAAGCGATAACATGTTGTTACTCAAGTCTTCATTCTCACTTAGCACTTGGAAAGTCAGGCACTGACATACACATCAGCAAACGTGATTCATTTCCTGAGGAAGGAAGTTCGAGCTATCCACACACCCTCGGCACCTGTTGCAGACTACATGTGGGAACACTTACTCTGAACAGTTTCGGAAATGATAAAAGGATCTTCCCCCTGTAAAATGCATAATAATCTCCAGTCCCTTGACTAAGCAGTGTCAGGCATTGTTCTGCAGCTTTGCACATCTGGCCGGGCAGTTGTGGTGCGGCGCGCTTTGAGTGAAACTACTGCATTTTCGTCGCTAAAAATGCAGCTCATCAGGTGGTCGTAATGCTAAAGCTGTTCCGAATCATGTGCCCGCACCTGAGTGTCTTTGGCTTTTGTGCAGGAATGATCGGTGGCAATGCCCCTCGGCCTGCCATGACATCTGGAGATTGGGGAAGCCAAGCTCCTGCTGTGAGGGTGACCTGTGCGCCCACAGCTGGTGCCATGACCAGGCCGGTGCAAGCAGGCATGATCCGCAACCCCACGGCCAGCATCCCCCTGAGACCCAGCAACCAGCCTGGCCCGAGGCAGATGCTTCCATCTCAGGTCATGAATATGGGTAAGTCAGGACACCTGTGGAGTTGTGCCTTTTGGATAAGCTGGATTGTCAAAGACAAAGCAGGGAGGGGGAAAATATTACCTCAGTTATAGATTTGATGAGAACCATGTTCCATAGTGAAAGTTTCCCATGGAAGTGGGAAGGCAGATGTGTAAAATACTAACTTTTGATGCATGATCACTTTTAAAGCAGGTACATAATGGTACAGACTCTATATACTTTCTTTTTTTAATGCTTATCTTACTCATTTTTTCACCTATGGTGCTGTATCTTCTCTTTTATGGTTTCAAACTACTTTCAGAGTTCTCATCTTATTGCTTCAAATTTTAAAAGCATTTTTTAACCAAAAGATCATGATGCTTTGAAGTGTCATGGTACTGTAGTCTTAATGTTTCTGTTTACTTTTACTGTAACATAGATAATTCAACTGAAAGAATTAACGAGAAATAAGATTCTCTTCACAAAACTTACGTGATTATTTCTCCTTGTTTAGGGCCGTCCGAATTGGAGATGAACATAGGAGGACCTCAGTATAGCCAACAACAGGCACCTCCAAATCAGACTGCGCCATGGCCAGACAGCATCTTGCCTATAGATCAGGCAACTTTTGGTAATCAAAACAGGTGAGTCTTAGTGTCATATCAAAACATGGAGAGATTTTACAGTATGTCTCATGGAAACAAAATTCTACATAAAATAGTCACTAAACAGTCACATCAGTTTCATGCCTGTGGTATTTTTTGCTCATGAAATGTGTACGTGCTCCAGTAATACTCTGGCTACAGACACAAATACTGTATTTGCCATTTAATGCATTAGAAGAATTGGAAGTTCTGTATCACAGTGAACACTGCCAGTGCTCTGGTAGTTTCACCTCTCGAGCATTAATTTGAGCGTTATTTGGCTGTTGTTATTGTTAACAATTATACTTAACACTAAATGTGGGGAAATGCCAGAGCCTTTGTAGTCCTAATATAGCTGTCTTTTCCTGCAACAGAGTAGCATTTTAAGTAGTGTGTGACATGGTTAACTTATGTCTGGCTTTTTTTTTAATTGACCTAAATTCTGTAAAAGGTGAGGAAGGAAAGATTAAGTGAAAGGGAGCTGCCTTTCCCTGAAGTTAGCTTCTTCTCAGATAACCAGAACTGTTAACTCCTATGTAATGGGATCATTATTAATACTTCTAAATAACATCAAAACTACGAAGAGCAGTTTATGCTTCTTAAAAAAAGCCATGTCTTCTCCAAAAAATTTGCAGCTTACATTAGAGAAATGAGGGAGAGAAAGACTGTATGAGTGATACAAACTGGACAAGTAAGTGAAAAATGTTGAAATATTTTGAATTGCGTTGAGATGTTTTTCAGTTGTAAATGGGGGAGCTCTGAAAAGAATATGAAGAGGAAGCAGATGGGAAAGAAGTATGTCTGAAAAAAGGGTTCATCTTCTGACTACGTTCTCTTAATTTGTGTTATGAAAGGATGTCTGAAAATACTATCTGTAAATTTAAACGTGGCATTTTTCTGTTACTTTTCATGCTTTCCAAGATGTTTCCTGGTGCTGATTCTCCCCCAGTTAGGGTGTCCATATGTCAAAAGCACTGTTTACATAACTTAATTATTCACTTAGAAAATGACACTGCAAAATGAAGTACAGGACCATGTTTGGTCACCAAACTGTTTTATCTTTGCATTTCTCATAATTTCGTTAGAGCTGAAGATGATGAAAAAATTCCCATTGTGTTATATCTGAAAGTAACCATATTTTGATCACTTATTTCCAAACAGAGATGATGAATTGCTTAGTGCTGCCACTTTTTATTTTATTAATCACTGGGATTTGTATTTTTATAACCTGATTATTGTCATGAGTATTCAACTGGATAAAAGTTAAATCATGAGTAAAAAGAATTCTTTTAGATAAAAATTAAACATTAACATTGTGGTATATACAAGAAATGAGGAAAACCCAAAATCATTGTCATTGTTTAACATACAGAATTTGACAAATGTTTTAAACTTTCTCTTATCATATGTATTCTTATAAGTCATCTTTAAAGTTTGTGAGCAATTTGATTCAAAGGATTACTGGTTTTTTTGGTCTTCCATTTTACTGATTTATAATTTCATCTGTGAGAGTTAGAGCAACTTCTCTCTGCGTGAGATTAATACTTTGCACTGTTTTCAAGGTACATCATATATATCCTTATTTTTATTTTTTACAGTCTGGGATCTAATTAAAAATAATACATTTTTGTTAGTTTTCCTGCCTGTCATCCTTTGGGGTTTTTTGTGTATGACCTGACCATGCAGCTCTTTCCTGCTGCTTAGCTTTGACATAGAGATTAGACTTCCATGGCAACCATATATCTCATCATGGAAACTAAATACACAAACATGTTTCTTTGTTTTTCCAAACAGGCATGTAAAAAGGGTTCACATATAGTTCTGTTTCCTCCCTCCATGTGTGACAGCTTTTGTTGTCTCTGAGTAATTATCTGGGATGAGATTCTGCCACAATGTGCATATAGTAGCTGCCCTCACTTGCAGAATGCTTTCCTGTTTATTTTTTCTATTGTAGTCCTGTAGTATTGTGCATGAAGTAGATCTTGTGTGTAAACCACAAGACAAAAATATGTTATTTAGCTGCAGATAAGGTGTTATTTCAGATTTAGTTTGTTTCTCAATAGTTTTGTCCTTCAGGTTTGGAATAAACCTTTATTCTGCCTTTTTAACCATGAGTGTGCTTTGCATACAAATTCAGGGGTGAGCTAAGCAGGATTTATAGAGCCAGCACGCTCTGTCTGACAGCATCCAAATTCTTGCTGACATCCTTCTGAAGCACATAACCAAGTGCATAAACTGGTACCCAAGTGTGCAATTCTGTAAGATGGGTTGAGCTGATGAAGTGTTTTACTGCAAACAAAAAGGTGAACGTCCTTTTCTCCCTCATGCTTCTGGCCAACTCTTTCAGGTGTTAGGTTTGTGTGAGCTCAAACAGTCCTTGGACCCCTCTGTGACCTCTTTAACTTGCTTAGTCTGACGGAAAACCAGTTAGGAAGAATGTTTGTGGAAATCAGTTCTTTTCCTACTTGTGACAGCATGCCTGATCTAACGTCTAAAATTCAAACTTATGGTTAGTTAAAAGAAATTATTTAGTCTTGTGTGTTCAGTGACTATATTCTGTACTGACTTCTGCGCTTCTTTGCTGACCTCGTAATGTGAAATCAGCACTCCGACGTACCTTTTGTGTGTTTGCTGGCTTGTCAGATCCACCGTGCTAGTAGGGTCTTGACAGGCATTAATCACCCTATATAGTTATTTCTTCATGTAACATAACTTTCATCCAGAATAGTTTCCTAAACAAAACTGGCAATGATGAAAATAATATCTGTCTCCACTTGTTAGTTCAATTTGAGCACTAATCCTCTGATATTATTTCTTGGTTTTCAGCAGCTGTTTACCAATGCTGTGTACATGTTTTCACAGGCAACCATTTGGCAGCTCACCAGACGATCTCTTATGTAATCATCCTTCATCAGAGTCACCAAGTGATGAGGGTGCTCTCCTGGATCAGCTCTACATGGCATTAAGGAATTTTGATGGTTTAGAAGAAATCGACAGAGCTCTAGGAATACCAGAACTGGTTAGCCAGGTATACTGGACATGGCATTGCACATGTTAGATATTGCATTTAAAGGATGTATTGTCAAGGTGGAGGTAAAACGAGTTGAAAAGGAGATTATAAAACATTTCTTGTAAGCAATTTTGGTGGGAGTCCCTCACCTGAAAAGTTTCCTTCTGCCCTAGGTTTAGTCTGCCTTTCTCTCTCCTGCCATTCTCATCTAGCTCTCCCACTTCTGACCTGTGCTGAGCCACTTCGCTTTATGTGGCAAACCTGACCAAGTCAAAAAATTATCAGGCTTCTGCTTAATCTGGTGGTCAGAGGAATGACTCTGTGGGGGAGAAATGTGTGTATACAAAAAAAAAAATATTAGAAGAAGACTATAAAGACCTAGGAGCAGAGGAGCAAGGTCAGGACCTTTGTGTGAAGCGGGCAGTAAGCTTTTGCATAAGCAAACCTCTAGCTGGTAATTTCACCCATAGTTTTCTGTCTTATTTGATGAATGTATGTTAAGGGACAAATTTCACCTGAAGCAGCTGATCTCATTCCAAGCACTTAAAACTGTAATTATTTTTTTAAAATTGTAATTATTTTTTAAAAATTCTGAGCATGCTTCCTAAACTTTGCTGCATGAATTTGTTCTATTGTTTTTCTTCCTTTTTTTTCCCCCACAGTAATTTTTTTATCTTGACCATTTCAGTCTTACGTGATACAAAACAAGTGTGGTAAAGAAAGGTAAAAATGGGGACGCTCGCACAGGAAAGTTAGTGCCTCATGTTTCTGGCATCAAAATTCTGTTTCCAAAACCAACTGTACATGCCTCTATAGTGATTTAATATTCTCAGACAAGCCTAGAATACTTATTTTGTTTCCCAGCACTTGTCAGCATCCTGAGCAGAACTTCAGAACTAGCTTTGCATTTTAGATATGAAATAGGGCAAATGAAGTCTTGCTTTGGACATAAGAAAACTATCTTCAAGCCTATTTGGTGCTACACAGAACTCAGTGAGGTGTTAAGCTGGAGATATAATTTATTGGCAGACTTCAATTTTGCAGCGTGGAACTTTCATGCAGTGTGACATAGCTTTTGGAATACCACCACCACAAAAATATTACTAATGTTTATTTCAGACTAAGTGGTAAATATCCTTCTGTTTAATTAATAACTCTGTGGAAACAGTTGAAAAGTTCCGCAGATAAGAAAACTGATTTTAAAGTATCCATCAAACATTTTATAGAAGCTTAAAGTCTCTTTGAAAAGGGCACTGAAATTTTTATTAACTTGATTTCCAAAGTCAGAGTGGAATAAGCTATAAAATTATTCTGGCCAGAGCAAGTATTAGGGAAGTATCTGGAATGGAGTTTAAAATTGTGTTAGCTTTTTTATGCTGATGGATGATCAGTTTGTGCGAAAATGCCCTGAAAGAATTAGGCACTCTCTTCACATTAGCTTTTCTAATAGTTTCAGGCATCTTTACTTGAAGCTGTTATTTTGTTTAAAGATACTGATAAAAATCTGCCTACTTATTCATTTGTAACATCTTTGAATTTATCTTGGATTCAGTGGCAAAAATATGCTGCCGCCACGTCATTACAGATTTTCCTATGGCATTTGTCATTTCAGGTTTTTATTTGTTAGCAGAATGATACAATGTTTATGTTAAGAGCATGACAAAGATTCTGGGCCTTTGTTTATGAAAAAGAGAGAGGAGGGATTTGTCTCCATTGATATGTTTTGACGCTCAAAAATGCGGTTCTATTTATTTTTTAAACTTGGGTGAGGAAAACAGAATTTTCTCCTTGAAAACATTCACATCCTAGAAGACTCATTTTGCAGGAGAGGCCTTATTAGCCTTGTATAATCCCGTGAAAAGCCACATCCTGCCAACTGTTTCCCTCGTCCACGTGTTTCTGCAGAGCCAAGCTGTCGACCCGGACACCTTCCCCAGCCAGGAGTCCAGCATCCTGATGGAGCAGAAGGCTCCGGTCTTCTCCCAGCAGTACGCGGCTGCGGCGGCGCAGGCTCAGATGGCTCAGGGCAGCTACGCCCCAATGCAGGACCCGAACTTCCATCCCATGGGGCAGCGGCCCGGCTACGCAGCCCTCCGGATGCAGCCCCGGCCCGGCCTCCGGCCCACCGGCATCGTGCAGAACCAGCCGAACCAGCTGCGGCTCCAGCTGCAGCACAGGCTCCAGGCACAGCAGGTACAGCCCCTCCCGCTCCCGCTTTCCTCTCCCAGGTGGCACGGCCTCACAAATAGATCCAGGTCTGAACTGTGTACCCTGTTCTATGACAGCCTCATTCCACTTACGCATTAAAAATGCTAGCTGTAATTGTAGAATCACAGAATGTCAGGGGTTGGAAGGGACCTCTAGAGATCATCTAGTCCAGCCCCCCTGCCAGAGCAGGATCACCTACAGTAGGTCACACAGGAACTCATCCAGGCAGGTTTTGAATGTCTCCAGAGAAGGAGACTCCACAACCTCCCTGGGCAGCCTGTGCCAGTGCTCTGTCACCCTCACAGTTTAAAAAGCTTTTCCTCATGTTGACGTGAAACTTCCAATATTCTAACTTAAACCTGTTATTTCTTGTTCTAATGCTGGAGGTTTTGCTGAGGCAGTGCCTAGTGCTTGTTTTTTATTTTTAGTCTTTTTTGCATCTTTCTATTGTTCCTTCTATAATATCGTGCAAGAATGTGCATCGTATTTAAGCCTAATTCTTTAAGCAAGGCCACACTGATGCTGTCTGTTACACAGGTCTTTTTCTATTTGTTTTATCTTGACTCTTGCCTACATCTTTTCCTTTTCATGGCCTTAATCTACTTTTAAGGATAATTTTAAGTTGTTGTTTCTTGTTTCATTTTTTAAATATAAAGATTTGTAGTACTATAAGATATTAATGCTTTTCTAGTGGAGGAGGAAGGATCACGTCTGCCTTCAAACATCAGGATGAGGTCTAATTCAGAGTAAACCTCAACAGTCCAGTCCCAAACTCAGAAAGGGTAGGAGCTGCAAAGGCAGCATGTTTGATAAACAGCTTAGTGCCTGTGTTGTTATTTGTATGGTGTATTATCTCCTTAAGAAACAGTATTCTGTGAATGATAGTAGGACTTAAGCAGGAAAACTAGTCTCTGCTTGAGTATGTAAAACTAGATCCTCAAACCAACTGATTGGGAAGTAGATGTATATACCTCTGAATATAGATTTTCCGTTTTCTTGTTTTGTTTCTAAAAACTTTTGGGTTTTGGTTTTGGGTGTTGGGTGTTTTCCTTTAGAATCGGCAGCCACTGATAAATCAGATCAGCAGTGTCTCCAATATGAATCTGTCTTTGAGACCTGGAGTGCCAACACAGGTGAGACAAATAGTGCTTTAAAAAAAAAAAATATTGCTTTGTACTCTTCTTTCTGCCCCCAATTAAACACAGTAGTGATGCTATGGGGCAAATACATGCATTAAATTCTAAAGCTTGAATACAAATAATGCAGTCTATATGATAAGAGGTATTTTACAGTTTTATTTCTGACAAGTCCCATATTTATATGGGGTGGATTGTTGCTTACTAGAGATATGATATAGCTGCGTTTTTAACCAAGCTTCTCATTTCCTAAAGATGCATTTTCTTCATAAGCTGTTCTGTTTGCAATTACAAATCACTGCAACATTGAACACTGACTTGCAGTTTCAGTTAGTGATTCTTGCATTGTTGGAAGTCTTTCCCAGCAGAAGTATTAGAATTATTTTCGCTTGTTTAATATTATTGTTAGTTGGGGGAGTGGGTGGTTGGTAAGAGCTCGATTCTTCCGGATTGCTCTAGTGGAGATGCCTCCACTGGTGGGGTTGCCTTGGAAGGGGTTATTGATGGGTGGCGGTGGTTTTCCCTGCAGGGCCCTATCAATGCACAGATGCTGGCGCAGAGGCAACGGGAGATCCTGAGCCATTACCCAACTCGCTGCTCAGAAGATACAGACGCAGAGGCAGCAGCAGCAACAGCAGCAGCAGCAGCAGGTCCAGCAGCGGACACTGATGATGCGAGGGCAGGGCTTGAGCATGACCCCCAGCATGGTGGCCACCGGTGGCATACCAGCAACCATGAGCAATCCACGGATCCCGCAGGCAAATGCACAGCAGTTTCCCTTTCCTCCAAACTACGGTACTGGTTCCACCCTCCCCAGTGCCTTTCAGCAGTCCTCACTCCCTCATATCCCCTCCCATGCTGGGTCCAAGCCCCCTTCCCACAGCTCCATGCCTGGCTCCCTGGGAACAATAAGAAATGTGGAGGTTTGGGCCCCTTGGGAATCTGTAAATGCAACAGAGTGCTTTCTGCTTTCCTAACTCTACTGCCAACTGTTCTCCAAGCACGACTCTTCTTTTTGAGCAACAGCAGAATTGCAGTGTGTGTGTGTGTGTGTGTGTGTTTATATATATAGCTACATGCAGATACAAGCGTGCATGCACACGTGAACACATAGGTGTGTGTATTGGCTTGATGGCCTCTGAATTTTGACTGAACTAAACAATCCAATGTATACACTAAAAGTGCACATGAGGAGTAAGATGTTAGTGAACAGCATAAAGTAACCAGAAGCAAAGCTGTGCATAATTTTTTTAAAATTTTGATAATGAGATGCTGCTTAAATATCAGATAGATCCTTCCCCAAGAAAGATAATTCTTCTTGTACACATTACAGTGTGAAGGTAACAACTAACTGTTGAATTTAAAAATAAATTAGTTTCAGATAAGGCATTCCCTTCCCTGTCCTTAAACCTGTGGGTAATGTGATAATTAATACCATTTTATTTGTATATTTTACAAAGCTGCATACTGCTGTGTTCTGGCAGTGCATGGGGCAGTTACCTCCGTATGGTTATTGTTATACAGCTTATTTATCTATTAATATTGTCTAAGTTATATTACATTATTATTTTAATAGTATAATTATTATATTATGTGCAAGTTCTGCTGATATAACAAATTGTGTCCATCCAATTCTAAATTTGCAATCTACTCACTGATCTGTTATCCTTTACACTAATTTCTACATCATAATAGTGCATTCCCTCCAGATATTTGAAATTGCTTTATGAAATTGAACAAAAGACAAAAACATAGAGAGGTTAGGTCATGCAGACAGTGAATACAAGAATAGATTCCATACCACCTGGTTCTTACCCCAGCATTCAGTGGTTTGTTTCTGTTAAGTATGTTATTGATGAATTTAAGACTGAAGTGACTTGGTTTAAAACAAAGTTTCCACACATAACTGGAATTTTACATGCTTAAATTAGGTTATCTTTGCATCTAAATTTTTTTATTATTATTTTACAAAATCATTAAATGCTTACACAAAATGGCATTGCCTGGTTTTGCAGGGACACAGAAAATACAACGTTCTAGCAACTATAGAAAAAATTGAAAATCATAGCCTAAATGTTAAAATATGGTGCCATACAGTAAACAGGTTGTGCATAACATTCGCCAAAAGAGATTTGTAGACAGAAGTAATATGTTTTATTTGTTCTTTTGCATGCAGTTTCTAGGGGGGAAAAGGTCACTAGCCAGTGTTTTTCTTTTGGTCTTTAAAGGGAGAGAGACCATTTATGTGAGTAGGGCACACAGGTGGCCAACATACTTAATGCAGAATGATTTTTTTAAGGTTAAACACATCATACTAATTGATGGCATCTTACTTTTAATCTACATCCCATATTAGGACACAAGGTTGAAGGTTCCAGGTGACCTAAGTGCAAGGATGTATCTGCATGCATGTACTCTTGACTTATTTTAACTTTGAATGTACATTGTCTAAATTTCTCATTTTCTTGTTTAGGTATTAGTCAGCAGCCAGATCCAGGCTTCACAGGGGCCACAACTCCTCAGAGCCCACTGATGTCCCCAAGACTGGCTCATACTCAGAGCCCCATGATTCAGCAGTCTCAGGCTAATCCTGCCTATCAGTCCTCTACGGAGATGAACGGGTGGGCACAAGGGAATATGGGTGGAAACAGGTAAATCCAGAACAAAGCTAAAATGAACACACAGAGTACTGGGGTCATTTATGGTCTATGTTTATTTATGGCCTTGTTTTATGTGATTGTTTACTTGTTTGTTTGTTGTTAACTATCTTGAAAGAGATTTCTTTTCAATTTGGCTTGGCGAGTTGGTTTAAATTCTGTCTTTGTGCAAGGCAAAGCGAGTGCATAGCTACGACACCTGCATCCACACAATGCATCGCTTTGTCCACGATAACTGATGAAACACTGTGTGTCCTTAAGGAGCACCTCTACCGCACAGCGAAGTCCAGCCCCTAACGTTTGTGGGGATGCATTTCTTCTGCGTATGATTTTCATGTTGTGCTCCCACACTGCTTTCCACATGACTGGATCAGCTGAGCTGGAGCCTATGCATTCCCTACTGCTCTGGAATTGCGGTGACAGGATATCACCTCCCACTTTAAATGCTGGAGTGCAACCAAGTTCAGTCCATTAGTGCTTGCGCATAACTGGGGGTCAGCATATAACTGTCATTCTCCGAGAGCATTGTAGCATGCCTCATGCATGCAGTCACCTTTTCAGTTGAGGCTCATGCCCTAGTCGGTAAAGCTCTAATAATCAGCCTGTCCACATGGAATGGGTTGGACGTTGAATGCTGTCAATAGGCAGCAAAGAGCTTCCACATGGCAATTATCTGTGTGTTTGAGTGGAAGACAGGAGGAGCTATGAGGCTGGTCTACAGCCTGTCTCACTTTACACTGGGGTGCCCATAGTTGTCTCTAGCGCAGAGCATTTGTCATCCTGAACTTCTCAGGCTGCTCTTACTGTCCCAGCCCAGCAACAAGTATTTTACACGGTGGTTGTCAAAGATTTAATAAACCCAAACCACCAGTATTTCAGTGATGAGGCTGATCCAAGTAAAGTTCCTCTTAAAGCAACTGATTTATCTCTTAATGTTCATCCTCATCCATGCCTCTTCCTCACTGTCTTCCGGAAGCATCTGCAGGAGTCATAGCTACCACTGTCATGGCCTCTGCTGAAACTGCAGCAGGGGCAGCTCGATAAGACTAATGGTTGGCTTGCTAAACTGCAGCTCTACAGCGGAGACATGTCAGATGCGTTTACACAAGCCACTGAGTATTCACAATGATGTGTAGTGTGCTGTTTCAGCCATCCAGATAACAACTTAAAAATGGGGTTCGGTGGCCTGAAAAGACATGACATTGGAAGGAAGAGAATGGTGGGATTTTCTGAGTTTGGTCCTGTGCCCAGAATGCCGTTGCGCTCCACCAAGTCTCACAGTGCGCAGCAACAGCCTAATGGAGTACCCAAGTGCGAGGTTGAGTGCTTAACCCTGACAGATTTCCTCAGCTGTGGGAGCAGTGCTTCGCAGGGAAGTAAGAGTCAGACATTGATGCAGAGGTGGTCACTGTGTGCCACCTGACACGCCAGAGCACTACCATGGCACTTCAATCTAATGCAGATCCTGTAAGCAGATACGTTGTCAGTAATAATTCCTTCTTTGACTGTTGGATTATGCTCAAAGAGTAGAACAGGCTGGTATGTAAACAGCAAAGTGGATTTTAGGAAATGTAAAAAAGATCTCTATTATGAATTCTGACATAATGGGAAGGAAGATGCTATTCAGAAAGCACTTGGCTTTAAATAAAATCTGGGATGAGGTCTTCTGCAGTTACTCCTTAAGTTCTTCTGAAATGGCCTGAAAGGAGCATAGAGGGTAATTGCCTTAGACTTTTTGTTGCTTCTTACAGTGCCACATTTTCAAAACCTTGATGCTAAGATTTAGTAAATTAATTTCTGCACAATTGCATGTCTATATTTGTGAGCCCACTTGCCATAATTGTATATGCAAATCTGGTATTGATATGTGCAAATAGCCTCTTTTGCAAAAACTAAGCTTGTTAGGCTGGATCGAATTTCAGCTCAACAGTCCTGTGCTAACGCTGGAGGGAGAAAAAGGTGTTTTCCTTTCCCTCCAAAAATTACTTTGCCAAACATGTTTACAATGCACACACAGCCCATTTAGACAGCTAACTGGCTGTTATTGCACATGTGTAACAGATTTGTACTCTGCCATAGTTTCACACGCAAAGGCATGCATTTTTGTGCACAGATATGGGACTTTAAATTTTGAAAATCTGTTCCTTAGACATGAACATAGCTGAAAACTAGTTTTTCCTTTGAAGTTGGAATAAATTATAGTATATGCAAATTCTAGCTTAAGATATATTAAAAAGAGAGTAGTTTCTTAGTGGCTTCAGCATTCTAAGTCTGACACATTGCTTTTTCCATTCCTTGCTGTAGCATGTTTTCACAACAGTCCCCACCACATTTTGGGCAGCAAGCAAGCACCAGCATGTACAATAATAACATGAACATCAGTGTATCCATGGCAACCAACACAAGTGGTATGAACAACATGAACCAGATGACAGGGCAGATCAGCATGACCTCAGCGACCTCTGTGCCTACATCAGGGTTGTCCTCCATGGGTCCTGAGCAGGTGAGAATTTAAGGATGTGAGATGACAGCTAGAGGATTTGCTTTGACTTTCAGTAGTTTTTCAGGTTTGCTGCGTTGGGCTGCAACTGCTGTAAGCCATTTTGTTTCTTTTAATAGTTTTCTTGAGAAATGATGATGTTAAAAAGACTTTACTTTTAGCTCTGCATTCAGATAACCAGAGTGACTGATGAAGTAGAGGGCACTTTTTGCTTCTGAATTTCCCATTTTGACCTAGCACCACTGTAGCTAGCACACGTAGTTGCTCCTGGAGTTCTGTGGAAAGTGCGTCCTGACCTAGCTCCTGTTCTCAGTAGGTAAGTTTCTGTAGCAAAGTTGCAGATCACCACTGTCCTGGCTAATTTTCTCAGCAGTGGAGGCTAGGGCTGAATGGCAGGCAGCTGCTTCCTAAAGATAAAAGTGAAAGGTGCTGGCATGGGCAGTGTTTAGAAGATGTGTCTACTGCCAGTGTATTTGTGGTACCAGCCAATAGGCAGTCAACTTCGAGAACCATCAATCTGGCACCTTCAAGAGCACAGAATCCACACTTTTTTGCCATGTGGTGCGTATAAAATAGATTGCAGAGTCAATAGGTAAGTAACCTGTTCTTTTCTGCTGAGAGGAGGTTTACGCAGTCCATTTTATTTGAGATTGCTACTTAGGGTATCTGAAATAAGGAAAATAACATTTCCGTTTGTCAACCTGCAATTAAATTCACACAATACATTAATAAGTATTTGACAAACAAGTCTTCTTAATTAACAGGTTTGTAAGTTTGCTTCAGAGCTGAGCTCCCATTTGTTCAAAACACAGACTTGAAATTACAGACTTCTCTTAGAAATACTGGCAGGAAAGAAGAGGTAATGTCTTCAGGCAGCATCTTCTGCTATGGTGAACAATACCATAAACTTTTTTTCAGAGACCATAACATTTCACTTTAAAGCTGGTTATATTATTGCCTTGTTAATGTACGCCCTTTTTCCAACCTAAATTTGATAACTGAGTATTTTCTAATACTGCCCTTGAGCTTAACTAGTTCTTCTCTCTTGTATTTTAGAAAAAGCCACTCTATGAGCATGATTTTTTTTGTTGTTTTGAGATTGTTGGATTGTTTTGTTTGGGGTTTCTTGGGGTTTTTCTTGTAAGTTAAACAAGCCACAGTGTTTCAGTGTCTTCTTGTGGACTTTAAATTCCCTTTCCTTCTCTGCACCTGTTCCGGTTTGAATCAGTATTTCCCAAGCGCCAGAGCCATGTGCATAACACTAGTTCTTCCCCATTTCTCTTGGAATACTCTGACAGATATAGCCCCAGATCACATTTGTCTTTTACAGCTGCCACATACTGGTGACCTGAAGTAATTCTGATACTCCCAAATCTGTCACCTTCTCTGATATTCCCAGTTGCTAAGCCCAATTATAGCAGTTATTAGTTATTATTAGTTATTATTAGTTCCCAAGTGCATCCTGTTGCACACATGTAATGTAGTAAAACAACAGTAAAACCAAAAAAAAGATAAGAGAGGCAATTTGAAGGTGACAGCCCAGTCTGATTTCTGCTGCTACGTGATTTTCCCCGGGAATCTGAATTGAGAAACATGCATTATAGAGAGAGATCTGGTTTTATTTCAGATATTTCTGTGCAGACTACTGTTTCCACGGGCACAGTTGTCACACCACTTTTCCTTCCTGGTAGAATACGAGATCTTGTTTCAAGATAGCATTTATCTAACTTCCAGTAAGCCAAATAGGCTGAGGGCCTTTATCCATCTCAACATTTGTTTTTCAACCTGTCTGTCTCTTTTGTGATCTACTTCAGACACCATTGCTGTAACCTCCTTCCAGAAGTATGAGCAGAGTAACTAACCAGTGAGGGTGATTTGACAGCGACTGCACTAAAGCTCTATAGAGTCAAGTTCTGCTTTTAATCTCTCTTTCAGTCCATGGGCTGCCTGGGCACTGTTGGTGACAATGTTGCGCTCGAGAGCACCTACTTAAACCCTTATGATGATCCCTGAATCCTCCTGAGCACATTCTGCATAAATGAAACCTGCATCCTTTGTTCCCAAATGTGTGCCCTTCCTTTTGTCTACACCAAATGGCATTTCTTAAACTGAGTCTGTTTAACCAAAGTGCTGTGGCTCATTCTGTATCAGTAACCTGTTTTGCTCCTGAGTTACCACCTCAGCACTGTGTCGGCTGCAAACTCTGCAAGCAAATGTTTTATATTTCATCTAGGTCAGAGGTGGCCAGCTGACAGCTGAGGGGCCACTTCTGGGCCACAAGACAGTACTTTTTAGTCCTCAGGAATGTTTCCTGTGCAGCTCCACGTTTTCTTTTCTGAGAGACATGAATAAAAATACGTATTTGGATACTAAAATTGATACTTTTTTTTTCCTGTTTTCAGGGCATAGTGTTTTACAATTTGGCGTCTTTATTTAGCAATTGACCTAGGCTGTGCTGAACTTTTTCTTGTAACTGGTGGTTTTCAAAATGACTACAATTTCTTTAATTCTGCTGCCTGTTGCCATTTCATTCATTCTTTTGGGGTTTTTTATAGTCGCCTACACTTTTACTTACTTATTCAGTGCCATTTCTTGTTCCATAATACATAATTTTAACTTCACATGCTCATCTGTTTCTAACCACAGTGAAGAACAGTGGTTACACTACAAATGTGTTCCAACTTTTGAAAAAAACTTAACACTTCACATGTTACTGGATAGTTTGGAAGTAATATGCATTACTTGTTAGTAAAAAGCTGTGCCTGGGTTTATTCACCTGGTGAGAAGCAGGTATATTATCTTTAGTACCAAACAGGTTGGTTTGGCCCTGTCTTCAGACATACTAGGTTTGGCTTTTATCTTCTCATACTGGTATATCTCAAGCTTCTCTTCTTTTCTACCTAAGACTCCCAGCATCACCAAGTGAAAAATTAAGATTATGGCCAAAAGGGGCTTACTAGTTATGATTCTTGAAGACTCTTTTAAAGTGCTTCAGGGATCAGACTTGTCTCATTCTCACCTTATGACTACATTAAAGCTCTTCAGGCTGCTCTTACTATTGTACCTTCTAAGAGGCTACCACCAGGAAAGCTCAAATACCAGCTGTCAGGTCTGTAGATTCCCTCTGTCCAAAACATCTTACCCACGTATCAAGAAAGTCTAAACCTTCCCACTGTTGCACCATTCTCACCACTTACTGTGTCCTTGTCCTTGTCTTCTTGCTTGCACAGTGGACAGTTGTGATCTTTTTGCCTGTTACTTATTTTGCATCATGGATATGTCTGTATGATACAGATTAATTCTCTGAAGCCTATGCAAAAAGGGAGATTTCTCATTATATGAAATAAATCCCTATCTAAATATCCACTCAGAGCTGATATTTATTAATCTACACAGGCCAAAATTATCATGGCATCTACAAAGGGTTGTCTTGAAATGGTATTTTCATTTTGCTAAGCATACTGGGTGGAAGGAGCTCTGGAGTGGTAGAAGACTTTTCGTATTAGGCAGCTTATTTATAATTCTGCTTTATTAGCAGGAGGCTATATTAATGTGCTGAATTGCAAAGAAGTTGAAAAACTTCTGTCTTGTTTTAGTCAGGTTTCATATCTGATAACATCACTTGACTTATCTTTAGAAAATTAAGAATTTCTTCGTCCTTCTCTGCGCTTTTTGGATTGGATTGTTGAGGCAGTCAGAATAGTTAGTGTATGAATGTGACATGTTTTGTTTCAAGGACTTTTGAAGAAAATACATTCCTATAACAAAACAGAAGATTTTTTTTTTTGTGTTATTGTTATATCTGATACCATGCCGGTCAGGATCTTGGATCGTCACTGGAAGAGAGATTCCATGATAGGAACTTCACTGATGCCTTTGCTGCTCTTGTGGTGTGCAGCTTGGAACCGTCTTCTTTTTCCGTACCTGTCTGAACTGCCATGATGCAAATCATGCCAGTCATCTTTTTGTTCCAAACCTGCTGTTATGTCAGCATACAATTTTTTATTTCTGCTCTTAATTTTTTTCTTTCTTTGTCTACTGAATAAACAGAAAAGACATTTCTGTCTGTACGTTCTGATCAATGTTGAACAGTAGCAGAAAACACTTTTAAAACGTGGATTCTGCTGCTTAGTCAAATGCATGTAGATAAAGCTGCAAAGCTATCTCTTTCTGAACAAAATAGTGTGGTTCTCTTCCCTAAATTTTCACATTCAGGATTAAAAATCTGCCCATTTGTATTAAGAAGCAGAAAGCATCGCCGGGGGCTTGCAGCACTTAATCAGTGTCTTCCAAGTTGAAATTCTTATGGCAAAAATATTTTCAGTTTTTAACCTTTCTTATTGAACCGCAGTCTTGTCTCTGGCAGCATTTGAAGTCGCCCATTCAGGTGGCTGCATGCAATTGGATTTAGATTTATGGCATTTTCCAGTATCGGTGAATAACAACAGAAACAAGAAACGGGAGGACCTGAGATGAGAAGATTTTGATGTGGTAAATTCAAGACAGTCTTCCCCCCTTGCTGCAGCAGGTTGTTGTAGCTGACATGAGGGAGTGCAGTGGCAGAATCTCCTCTCCTTGGCAACACGAGTCTGCTAAAGGACAGGTGACACATTAAACATCTTTTTCCTTCCAGCAAAATCTGGAGTGGCATATCTTCACTATTACCACATCCATCCAGGCTGAGGGAAGTAACAGAGAGAACCAAGTCAACAAAGTCTCCCTAGGAAGAGCTTTCTTTCCCTGTAAAACTTCTAGGGAAAGCTGGATTTTCTAATATTTCAGAACTGCGCTGAAGGGCTGCTTTTTGTATTCTGTACCAGTTCCTACAGAGTGAGATTAATCTTTTGATTAAGCAATGCTGTAAATTTTTTTTACTCTTTCCACATAACTAAGCATGACAGACCCTTTGGTTGTGCAGAGATTCACAGCATCAATACTTTCCCGTGGCTATGTTCAGAAAATAGTTGAGGCTGTCCCTTTAGGAAAGCACACTCCTGCACTTTTTCCTGTTTAATTCTATCTTTCTCCCATTGCTTACAAGCAGAAAAATAAGTGACATTAAAGCTAAGTCAATAGTCGGTATAATTCAGCCCACATGCTACCTCATCAGGCTTTGAAATAATAGTGTGGTGGTTTGCAAGCAGAAAAGCTGTGTGTTACTGAGGTTAGGAAAGGAGTTAGCATTTCTGCTTTCAGGACTTCCATAGCAGGGATGTCCTCTTCAAATAATACTGACCTAATTTGTGGAGACTGTTTTGTGAAACGTGTGCAAGGGTCATAGTATCGGGAATAAAATCTTTGTTGTTGACTCTGAAGCAGAATAATGCGCAAGAAGGATGCTCAGCTATGTAGTCGCTTCCCTGAGGGCAGCGTCGTCTCAAAAGTGGCTGTTGTGGTATATGCAAGTAGCGTAGTGCTTTATAATGCTCCTTTTTAATTCCCAGCCTACTTCCCAATGTATTTTTTAATTCATCCTCCTTAATATCTTGTTACCAATAGGTTAATGATCCTGCTATGAGGGGAGGCAACCTTTTTCCAAACCAGCTGCCTGGAATGGATATGATAAAGCAGGACGGAGATGCAACACGGGTAAGAAGTGGCATGCATGGCCATACAGTGACAACAGAGCTATGAGTATACTGTGGTCTAGAATGGGTACGGTATTTTTTTACTTACAAAGTTAAAAGTACCCAGGGTGATAGTAATTAAGTGGGGGATTTTTTTTCAATCAATTTTTTTAATTCCGCTTCTGGTGACATCTATGTTAACTTCCTTGTTTAGATCCCGCTAGCATTACTGAAGTGAGTAATACAGAATGCATTTACATTAACAGAATACATAACATTATTAAATTAACAAGCAGTCACATTCAGCAGACTTATGTATAGTTGTATTTGCTTTTTACAGACCAATTACATGACTGTTTGCTGATGACAGGAAAGACTTACTGTTGATTTATATTTGTGCTGCTTCATGCTTAACCCATTTGAAGTTTGATCCTGCCTAAGTGTTTTTTCCGCTTCTCAGTGCGTTATACTTAGGGCAAAAATCCAATGTATTATTTAATTTATTACTTCCTATACAGTGCTGCTTCTGAGATGAGTGGTAGAGAACTGAACAAATTTCCAACTGACAGTGTAGTTAGCGTTTGCTTAGGTCAAAACCGATTAGTATTCAAGACAGTAACTGTACTAAAGGAAAGATATTGTGGAGTTCTTGGCATGTGGCCAAGTAAATGAGGTGTCCCTCCTCAGTGGAAGGGTTTTTTGTGGGTTTTTATTTTACTTTTATGGAAATAATCTTCATTTAAAATAAATTTGTTACAACAAACCCAGCATTTCGGGACCGGATGCGGTTTGAAACTTAAAGAGTGCAGTGATTTTTCCCCCCGGTGGTGCCAGTGACCCACCCTGAGGGACCTGTCGGTGCAGCCAA